AAGAAGTAATCCCTTGCTAGTAGCGCATTGGTGGTGTTAGCCATCGGAAAACCAACGACAGTGAAAGAATGGGGTATTGTCATTGGAGAGGCCAGTGTGGGAACCGTCATAGCTTGGGGGGGACCCATTGGGACTTTGATGGGCGATGGTCCGGGCTGGATCGAATGTGACAGAAGCAAAGCAAAGCAGAGCAGGGAGGATGGTGGGTAGTGTGTGCGCAAGAGTGGAAACGGAGAAGATCATTCATTCCTGGCAGGAGATGGAGACAGATGGAGACGGGGAACAGGGATTGCGGGTGGAGAGAGCGACCAAAGCAGTAAGGTACCGGCCCCAGGCTGCAACTAGACGGCGCAACTAGTTGCTGTCCCCTGGTTCTTCTCCTCACCCTCATTGCAGTGGAAGGGATCTGGCTCGCTTTAGGGCTCCTTCGCTTGACTCGGTTGCTGAAGGAAGCTTCAGGGCATGTTTCACGAAGCATGACTTTATTGTTGCTTCGTCCAATGATCCTGGCATGTTAAATGCATGGGGATAATGACCGACTTGGGATGCATAGAATGCTTACGGTGTGCCTGAGAGGATGAGCGGCACAACGAGGGGGCCAAATAGCCTAAGCTAAACTAGAACCTCGTGCTAACAGCTGTATCTACTATCTACTATTTACTATCTAGTCACTGCTAATAACTAATTGTTACTCACTAGTCAGCTCGTTACCCCGCCATGTCTCTCATCATCCCAGTCTTTTTTCCAGGTACCATTTCTGGTAGGAGTCTCTCCCCCCCTTCGGTCGGTCTTTACTCATCGCTGACATGTAGTTAGTTAGTAAGGTAAAGATCCGACTAGTTACCTGCTAACTGATTTGGTTACTGACTAGGCTGGTCCCGGTAGTACCGCCGTTATAACTGTTTTGGACCCCACGGCCCGTCCGTCTCGCCTACAATTAGCGGCAACCACCGAATGGTCAATCCCCGCCCAATACTCTGTAGGCTGTCTCTCTGTCAGTCTGCCGCGGTCGGCTTTCTTCCTCCATCGTGCTTACCAACCACAACCACCTTGCTTTTACTTTACTTCTTCTCCTTCTACTTTTCATTCCTCTTTTCTTTTTTTATCTACCCCTCGGTCTGACATGCATGCAGCCTAGTACCCTTCTATGCGAGACCGACTGTTTCAACCCCAGGGCTTGTCTCATAGCATGATGCCGTCCAAACCAGAACTGACGCTAAAGCATGTTTGCACCTTGCTGAGCTAGACCGAGGTACACCGAGCCTGAGACTACTTAAGTTTGTGCCCTAAGTAATGAGTACAAAGTAGTAGTGGTTGTCTCGTCTCGTGCACTGCCACAGCCGGCGGTTCCCCGTTCTTAGGCCCGAGCGCCCTAGTAGCAACTGGTGGTTCCTCTCTTGACAGGGTCCCACTAAAGATCGTGCGCGAGGCTAAATGGATAAGAAGCAATGAATTACTGTGTACGGCGGGCAAATACAATTCCGCCGTGTTTACTGCAATCGCAGCTGTTCCCAACTGCCACCCTTCCCAAATACTATAATTATAGTTATGTAGTAGTAGTAGTTGATCTTCCCTCTGTTTTTTCTCCAGCACCCCACTGGCCATTCATACTACACTTTTTGAGGTTAAAGCGAGATGATCGACGGAACACTCCTTCCTTCCTGGTTCCGAATGTGTGTAAACTGACTATAGTAGTGATTATGATACCATTGTACAGCCCTGACACTGACTTCATCCAAATAGCCTCCTACTGGGTCTCACCATCTACTCATACATACCCCAGCTGCAGCTCCTCTGGACAACCAAAAATAGCTCAGGTCTTTCAATCAAATATGTACTTTTCAACCTCATCTGTGCGACAGAGCAGTTTCTGCTTGCGCTATTTTACAACAACACCCCAGATGCAGAGCCGAATATGTTTGTGGAGAATCCTGGATCCTTAGGAGACTGGATGAATCTGATTCAAATCACTGTTGTCTGGATACTTTCTGGCCTTACGTGAGTTTAGATTAGCATTCATTGCCACTCGAGAAACATATACTGACTCCAACTCTTTGAAAAAGATTTACACTAAGCCTGCGATACCCCTCCGACTCATCCTTCCGAGTCAAGCTCTCCGCGGCCTTATCATACATTGCCTACCTCCTCGTAGCCGTCGTTCCGTCAGTATGCGTGATCCTCACAACCCCTAGAGGCGAGGATCCGCCCACCAGCGAGAATGAGTGGCAGTTCGCTCTCTGGAGTGGTGTCCATCTCATATTTGTCAACCCGGTCATGACACTTCTTTCATTCAGCGCTGTGTTCTGTCAGGCGCCGAAATTGCTAAAGGGGGTGTCGCCGCCGCGGGCTTTGAGTCTTCCAGGACTTGCGATCCAAGCAGGTGTGTTCACGGTTCTTGCTTTGAGTTGGCCATTCCGGTTTGTATATCTCGATCCTGATCGGAATGTTTTTGCATCGTGGTTTGCGCTGTATACCTGGTATGTTTCTGTTGGTTGGACGGCTGTGGACTCTGCGGTCTTTGCACTGGTTCAGGGGATTCTGTTGTGGTTGGCGTGTAGGAATAGGAAGTACTGGCGGTTGGATGAGGATGGGGAGACTGAGCCGTTGCTGGCTAATAGAAGTTGATTGAGCCGGTTGATGTGTACATTGTCAGTTATTCACCGCTCCCAAGGCCTTGCTTTTGGTGTCACTCTTGGTCAGTGGCTGAGTTGGTCAGCTGCTGGCAGGCACCGGACCATCTGCTTGTAGACTCAATTCCCATTACAGCTAAAGAAATTCCCAGTCCACTGGTCTCTATGGAAAACGAAATAGCAAATATGATCGTATAGCACACATACCCCCTGTAGTTCTCTCTAGCTCGTAAGCATGTCAGAATCTTGACGCTGTAGTTAAGGCTACTCAAGGCCAGTGATAGCTCTTTCATATTCTGAAGCTATGGTAGAGTTTGAGAAATACTAGTATGTTCAAATAGCAGAGACCATATACAATAAATTGGGTAGTATTAGTACTAGGAATCATGCTACCATTCCGACTAGACCGTTGGCTGTCTCTTATTATAGACACCGAATCGCAGTAGCTGGAGAAGGGAGCTTCTCCTTTGACCGGCTAGTACTATTAGCGACTCGAAGGGGGTACCATGGCTATATCACACCCGACGATAAGTCGTTGATCTAACAATGAATCGTCTTAACTTCTAGTCACAACTCTAAATTCTACCATATTGGAAGCTGGTATCACCACCTTTGGCCGTCCGTCATTATCGGGTGGACTTGTAATCACGCCGAATCCGATGATTGATACAATGGTATCCATATGCTCTTCCTTTGTTCCCCAGTCCCACCAACTCAACGAGCATCCTTTGAACTGGTGTCGCATGACCTCTCCATCTCGAGCATCTTCTGGTAGATCAATCATAGTCTCAAGCTCTCGCACTTCAGTCCAGGTCTCGTTGGGCTGTAGAGACATAAAGCCGTCGCTTGTACCCACTGCGCACGGAACATCTTCTTCCTCGAACACAGCGTATCCAGCCGTACAATAACTGCGCCAGGAGTTCCACTCTCCCGTTTCCGGACTACGCCGATAGAAGCAAGATGCCTTCCAAGCATACAAGTCATTGACTGAGAAGGTAATCGGTCGGGGGGTCTCGTCTCCTGATACCCCATGGTAGGTAAGCTTCCAGGTCAAAGGCCAGCTTTCTTGGGTTCTCCATGTCGGCGGTGCTTCGATCGCGAGGGTAAGAATCGGTACGCCTGGGGCACTTAGCTGATGTTAGCAAACTACTACTAAACACAAAATCAGCAGAGAAGTACTCACAGAGTGTTGGGATTAACTTCGAGCACAGGAGAACTTGAACACCTTGGCCGCGGTGGCGGCGCACTACCTTCGATTAATGTGAAAGAGCATCGTGCGCCTCCAGGCAGTGTCATCGGGGTCGACTTCGCCTCCAGCTCCGTGATTTCCAAATTTTCTTTATTCGTATCATTCGATCCCCAATCCCAAAAATGCACCTCACCTCCGGGCCAGAAGAGCTCGTATGTGATCCATTCACTTTTTATAACGGATCGAGATAGATTCTCCCCAAGAGGGATATCCCACGACACGGCTTCATCATCCGCACCCAAGTACCAGAGGTGAAGAGGGTTTGATTGCCGCGTTATTGGTGAGGAGCAATCTGACTGCACCTCCACCTCCATTAGGCCCTCACTGGGCGAGCCACGAAAGACCCTGAATCCTTCATCAGTGCTGGGGGACCAGTAGAAGTAGCATGGCTTGGGTTCCTGGTGCTCCTTGGATCGCGTGATGGTCACTGTAACGAGATTCAAATTCGGGCTTTCAGTATAGAAGTTTCTGGGTGCATTTAGAGTCACCTCTAGCGCTGGAGTATGTGGACTTTCCGATCCCTTATGTCAGTATCTTTCTGATGGGCTGTAATAGCACGAGGGATACACACTGTCGGTCCGCATCAGAGAATTTAAGATACTGTTTCAAGGTGTCGTTCATGGTAACGGACATCTTGGTTGAGTAATTTAAAGCTATAAGCAAATCGCGTCGGGATAAGAAATGGAGTGTATAGAAGATGATTGTCAGTGGACTTAGGTTACGGGGAACAGACGTCCTTATATGGAAGTGCTTGAGCGGGGTATCTTTGACACCACCAAGACGTAGTTAATTAGTTAGCCGAGCTAAGTCAGTACTGTAATAGTGATAACTTCATATTTCATTCTTGTTGCAGTTAGTTTTGCTGCTCTTATCTTAGTTGCTTGCTATAAAGGTGGTGTGTTTCAATACGCAATAGACAATAAACGGCACTAGTATTTTTGCTGGGATGCGGTATTCTTTACCCAACACGTGATTTGGGGCCAAGTTCTTTCCAACGCCTACTAACATGAAACCTCGCCTACCGTTTCTAAAACGAGCAATGACGTGTATTCTCCAACCCTAGGGAGTGGAATATGCTTGCCTGATGAGTCCCTTTCATTCTATACATATCACTCCCTACTCTACAATATATCCGAAGCATTCCTCTCTGTCACACGGACATCCAATGGCCCTCGTTCCCAGACCATGTACGACATCTGCTCCGCCCAGTTGGAGCTATGTGGCATGAGCTGCAGATCAAACCGAAAAAGTAGACGAGCAAGAATCAGACGCATTTCTGCATAGGCCAGACTAGAAACGCGTTGTCAGTCGACGACCTAGCCATGAAATCAGCTATGAACACGCGGGAATGTATATACCTCTTTCCAATGCAATTCCGAGGTCCAACATGGAACACCTGGACTGACTGCAAGTTATCATCCTTGTACGATGGTTCGCCCAGCCATCTCTCCGGAATAAATTTGTCCGGGTTACGAAAGTTCTTGGGGGACCTCGACGTTGCCCAGCTATGAACGGATACAGCGGCCTACTTAGTCGTCAGTCAGTGCGTGGCTCTCCTGCATAAATAAGAAAAATAAAGCAGAATGGTCTATATTTAAGACGCACCCCGCCTGGAACCCATCGCCCAGCAATTTGAAAACCCTCCCCAGGCACCTGTCGTGGCAACCCCGAGGGAATTGGCGGATACAATCTCCAACCCTCCTCCAAACACGCAGTCAAATACTTCAAGCCTGCCACGGACTGGATTGTGATCTCCTCCTCCACGCCGAAGGCTGTCTCAATTTCTTGCCTGAGCTTGCGCATCTTCTCCGGATTCTTCAGCAAGTAGAACGTCACCGCCGCCAACGAGGTCGCACTCGTCTCACTCCCCGCCACAATCAGCGTGGACGAGTTGTTCGCTAACTCGGCAAATGACAGCTCCGGCGCTCCCGTTGACAAATACTGCATGAAGTCCTTGCGATCTGTCTCCTTACCCAATCGGCGCACCACCTTCTCGGTCGTCTTAGCGATATGCGCCAGCCGCTTGCGCGCCAGCTCCGCCGGCAGCAGATACCACAGCAGGAGGGACTGCAAACCTGGAAATCGCGCGCTGATCTGTATGAGCATGCTCGTTTTGAGAGCTAGGAAGATCAAGCGCACCCAGTCGTCATAGGGCGCCTCGTTTGAGACAACCGAAGGGCTCACCGAACCCCAGGTCGCCGATGATGTCGAAGGTGCAGAACTGTCTCCCTAGATTATTAACATGATAGAGCAAGAAAGAGGGGGGTTTATCGTTGCCGCTCGTGCACACGGAAACTCACATTAAACCAAGCGCTCATGTCCACCACTTCGCCCGCGCGCTGCTCCAACTGCTGCACGAACAAGTCCACATACCCCTTGATGATAGGCTCTTGCTCGCGGATTGATTTCTCTGCAAACGCGGGGGCCAGCTTCTTTCGGAAGCGGTTGTGATCGTGGAAGCCTGCGGTAGTGATGCTCTTGTTGCCCGAAGCAAAGCCCGCATAGAATGTGGGGTCTTTTCCTAGTTCAGGGAATTCAGTGCCCGTGGGACGTCCGCTGTAGATGGATGTCCAGGCACGCGGGTCAGTGTAGGAGAGTTCGTTGGGGGCATAGCGCACGACGGGGCCGTAATGGGCGTGGAGGTGGCGCATGTCCTCGTGGAAGTTACCGCGGAGGAGAGCGTAGGCATACCAGAGAGGGAAGATGGTGGCGTATTTGGGGCCTGGGTAGTTGGAGAGCGGGTGAAAGTAGAGGTTGTATAGGGCGAGGGCAGTGAAATAGGTGGGGAGGTGGATGGTGGTTTAGTGGGGATTGATTGGACCTGGGGTAGGTGAGAGACCAGGATGGAATTGTAGTACTACATACCGCGAAGAGAACTGGGCTTATCGCGTATAGGGGGTTGGACCACAGTGGCGCAGCGACATTACTTCCTAGGATATACAACCCAGACAAGGTGAAGACAGCCATGGAGCCTCCCCGAGGCTGTGACTTGCCTCAACGGTTATTGTGGCAGGATCCAGCTTATTACCTAGTAGCAATGTATCCACAAATGGGAAGAATTGGGCGATTGTATCACTTCCTTAAATAGGAAATTTGTTCTAATTCATGTCTATAACATGATTTCCCAACTGAAATAAGCACAACATCGAGGCCTTCATGGCCGGGCATTCTGCATTCGGTCTAGCCGCGGAGCCTCTCCGAACGGGTTAGCCAGCATCGGGCCATCCCACTACAGTAAATGGGCGCCCTGGTTGAGTTTCCTTGACCAGACAAATGTTAATCGGGAATGGGATGAAGGACACACAGTAATGCAAAGGTAGAAGCAAAAGCAAGTTCTGGCGTGGTATATGTATTCAATTCCTATGGCCCCGGGTTGTCATGGAAAACAACTACTAGTACACATTCAGTAATCCCGAACGGGGAGCTCAGGTAGTAGTTACCGGTGACCCTAAAACACCACCGAATCCAGTTAAATATAACGAACCAGTAAGGACCCCATCATCCCAAGATGGAGTAAATCATTGAGTCCGACCGAGCTGCGAAGTCAATATGTCCTTCTCCCAGTATCAAGATCAGGACAGTGCGGTCCAGTCAGCAGATCGGATTCCCTGGGATCCCAATTGCTCAATCTTCCCCTCTAGAAAAGACCTGCCTCACATACCTGGTGCTCCCAAAGATGCTGCGTGGGTATGGGGTGAGAATGATCAGGTAGGAAACTTACTTCAGTCCGCGACATAACTTGAATACTTCGAACTAATTTATTTCCAGATTGGACGGTTGAACTTGTTGACACCCACACGTGTCAAAGATGCGGCCTCTTCAGAGATCAAGACTGGCCAAATGATCCGGCTAGAGTGGGTGATATTACATTACCTCTCCGCATAACCGCTCACCCCAGTTCATTGACGGGTACTTACTTATACCTGGGCTTCTATTACAGTCTTCCCCTAGGTGTACCCAACCCCCCTGCATTCGGTCGAGCAGGCTTTGTGCACAAGATCAAGCCCTTACAGGAGAAGCTCATCTACGATGATCTGTACGAGTCATTGAACACCCAGAGCGGGACGCAGTGGGATGGATTCCGGCATGTAAGTGAGAATCTCTTCCGTAGCAGTACTGTAGTATATCCCAATCTTTTATTTGATTTCATTCTATTACTTTCGTGAGGACCCTACCACTCAGTATTCTAACTACTACTAGTTTTCACACCTTTCCTCGGGAATGTTCTATAACAGAGTACGTATATCATGCCCAAACCCTAATCAATCAAAGCAATCCCACTAAACAAATAAATGAAAATAGACCACTGCCACCGACATCACAGGCTCGACCCCAACCCTAAACAACAGCATCCACCACTGGTCCGCCACCCACGGCGGCATCGCCGGCCGCTGCCTCCTCCTCGACTTCTACACCTACGCCCAGACCCATGTCCTCCCCTACGACCCCTACCAAGGCAGCGCCATTTCCTTCACCGACTCCCAGGCCTGCGGCTACAGCCAGGGAATCAACATCCTACCCGTCTCCCAGGGCGGGGATATCCCCGTGGGCACGATCCTGATGATCCGCTCGGGGTTCGTGGCCAGGTATAATCAAATGTCTCCAGAGAATGGGGCTGATATTCTTCGGAACGAGACAACTGAGTATGCGGCGCTCAAGCAGGAGGCGGCGATGCTGGACTGGCTGCATAATTGCTACTTTGCGGCGTTGGGAGGGGATGCGCCGGCGTTCGAGCGCTGGCCGCCCCAGGAAGAGTATTTCCTGCATGAGTATTTGTTGGCATTGTGGGGGATGCCAATTGGGGAGATGTGGGATTTGGAGCGCGTGGTTGCGTTGTGTCGACTGTTGGGTAGGTGGACTTTCTTCATGACGTGTGCGCCGGCCAATGTCGAAGGTGAGTAAGGTAGCGAAATCGCTGGATTTGATGTGTTGGATGGTGGGTGTGTTTGCTAACGACTAAATGGGGTGTAGGTGGGGTTAGTTCGCAGGCGAATGCGATAGCGATTTCGTAAGGTTTGGGGGTTGTTGAGGTATGCGGATAAGACGGAGAGTGGTGGATTGTTAGTGTGTGTAGTAGGGGGTTTTCCCTTCCTCTCTAGATAGCTCTCATAAAAAATCCCATCCTTGACAGTAATACGACAAAGAAGCAAGCAAGTAAACAGACCAAGTACTCATCAAAATCAACCTACGATATCTCTCTCCTACGATATCTCCAAAGCCCTACTTCCTCAACCTGAACTCAATCACCCCCATCGTCCCCGGCAACCGAATAACCCTCACCACCTCATATCGCCGATCCGCCTTTAGAATCAAATTCCGAAAATCCTGCTCACTCCGCTGCTTACTGTTGGCAATCACCATCATCGCCACATCCACCTGGCGGACCAGGTGTTCCTCGCGCAGTGGCACCGTACCCCGAGCCGGCACAATGCTCTCATTGATCAGCACCGAGCACTCCGGGCGCGCCTCCAGCGCTGGTGCGAACTGCCGCAGCACGCGAACACAGTCGTCATCGCCCCAATTGTGCAAACACGAGCGTATGTACCACGCTTTCACGTCCTCCGGGACAACCGGCTGTGGTTGGAAGAAGTCGTGCTGGCTGAACTCGACGCGCGAGAGCAGACTTGGGCCGGCGCATTGGGAGTTTTCCGAAAACATGGTTTCCGAGATGTCTTGGACTGTGAAGGTCCATGTCGGTAATTGCTGTTCGGATTTCAGTGTTTGGTTTGGTAGGAGGGAGATATATAGAGAGAGAGTATAGATGGGGATAGAGACACAACTGGAAATATCAACATCATACCTTGGCGAGTTCAAGAGCGACATGGCCGCTGCCCCCGCCCACGTTAATGAGTCGGCCTTCGGGATGGCCGCTGGTTTTGATCCATTCAACAAGGGCGGCGGAGGATCGATCCACTAAAAATGTAAGTCAGAAGTATTGCAAGAGACAGTGAAGCATTGTGTGGGTGGCCGCGGTACGTACATTTGGCAATCACCTCCTGAGCGAGGGCGAATCGAACCCCGTTCTCCGGGTTCTTCTCATACCACTCGTAGAAAGGGGTGCCCCAGCTGTATGTAATATCATCAGTTGGTTGTGGCTTTGAAATATCAATGTTTAGATCTTGGAGTGGTGCATGCCCTACCGATATTTGAACGGCGACAGATGACTCTCTTCGGCCGCCGGATACTCCTAGAAGTAATTAGCTGTCTCGACGCTCGCTTTATGCATCTCATCCAATCTACAATCCCGCAATCTCATCAGTACTAAAGGGTATTACTTATCTTTACGACAAAGTTCACTCAAGAGAGAAGGGATGGACATACTGCATCTCCACCTGAGCCCGCAACTCGCGATCCCGGACCAACACCTCCGAAAAGGCAGTATGGCGGAAAACCCCGTCCTCGACCTCCTCCGCGATATTCAGCGTCGCCAGCAGCCGCAGAAGCCGCGCCAACTTGGCTGGATCCAGTCGTACGCGCTCGCCGAGCTCTGAAAGTGTCATGCAAACGCCGGCAAGCGGAATCTGGTCATACACCCTGTGCTCAAGCATGACTTGCAACGCGGCCAGGTCGAAGTGACTGCCGAAAACCTCACGGTGGAAGGTCAGAGGTCCTGCAACAAGGCAGGTGAGGCTGGTGGCCGCATCCACAAGTCGGGCTTTGGTGGTGTTGAGGTCTAGCGTGGGGTCTTGCCAGAGGGGGTGGTCCGTGGAGCTGGTAAAGGTGGGTTCGGGGACATTGTGCGTGGTGAGTTTTGTGATGATGGCTTGGGTGAGGGTGTTGATGGTCTTGGCCAGGGAGAGGAGGGTTGGCGCTGGGGTGATCATTGTGGATGAGTAGACTTCTTCCGATGGGGAGACCGTTGGATTCGAAGGCAGGAATGTGGATGGGGGGATGTCGACTACTGTTCGGGGAGTAATGGGTATTATAGATACTTCTGTTGCTTGTCTGAATGGGTGATGGGCATATTGCGCATTCGGGATATTGTCGAAGTGGTAATGGCCGAAGGGGGGTCGGGTGGAGAGGGCAAGTTCGGCGAGAGCAACAGCAGGGATTTTACCTCTCATGCAGTTACGTAGTCGTGTTGTTGTACTGCTTTAGTGACAATTCTCCGGGAAACTATCAATGATTATTATATTAGCAGGCTACCCGTTGTTGGCTACGGTTTTAGTTACACAGAGTACAATCTAGGTCCTTTCAGCTGCAGCTATCGTATCCAATCCGTTATGATGCCCAACAATGATAGTCCCACCCATATACAGCGACACTACCATCCCAGTGGCCCATCGATGTTGCTAAAGGTACCATTTGGTCCATCCTTATCCAAAGTCGCGAGGTGAACCGTCTGCAGTGCACCACTCTCCGGGGTGCCCCAGCCGCGGAATCGGTTGAAGTTGGTGGCGCAGAATCCCGGGTCGCTCGCGTTGACTTTCCACCCCTTAGGCCCATAAAGACTGGCGTAATGGCAGGCGATCATATTGAGCGCCGCCTTGGAGCTGCGGTAGGCAGGGAATTGAAAGGCAGCAAATTGATCCTTGGGGTCCAACCGGCCGGTACACGACCCCAAGGCTGAGGATACAAAGACAATCCGCGGCACAGCGGCCTTCTCTAGCAGAGGGATAAAGGCTTCCGTAGTGACGACTTGGCCCGTGGTGTTGATGTCGAAGCCCGCCTGCCAGGTTTGGCGGAGGGAGGTGCCTTCGGGCAAGCGTCCCTCGGTGATCACACCAGCGTTGTTGATGAGGACGTCCAACCGACCGAACTGGTCTGCGACCTGTTTGGCGGCCGACTGAATGGAGGCGTCATCGGTCACGTCGATGATCACTCCATCGACGGTCAGTCCTTGGCTTTTGAGCTTGGCAAGAGCTTCTTCGCCCTTGGCTGCATCGCGGTATCCCATGAGTACGTGGTAGCCCGGGTGGTCGGTGGCCAATTTTTTGGCGACCTCGAAGCCGAGCCCCTGGTTGGCGCCGGTGATAAGGACGATTGTGCTGTCAGGAGAAGCCATTTTGTGCGGTCTGGATAAAGAAAGGGTGGAGGTGATGTGGGACAATCTTCTGAGGGCAGGAAAGGCGGGGAAGCGATTCATTGATTTGAAAAAGAGAAATGTGAAAGAGGAGAAGGAGGGGAAGGGTCCTTCAAGGGGAGGCTGATAGGGCAAGCAAATTCCAAAGACTCGGCGAAGGCGAAAAAGAGCGTCGTCGAGGACGGAGCTATCGGCATTAAAGATGAACTATGCACAGTTAAACCCCGGTACTTTGCAATCAAACATCACATCAATACAAACAAGAAGTAATCAAGGCCCCAATCCAATGCCCCGATTGCCTGACTCCGTCCCCGAACCCTTGCGGGCAACGTAAGCTTCAATCATCCAATTGGGACAGTTATTGAGGTTAGCGCTTATCAAGATTCCTGATCCACCAGCCCACTTGCTATATTAAACAAGAAAGCTTACTGATGATAGAAGCTTTTCAAGCTTCCTTGACCGGGATTCGATCATTCGACCCACCCCTGACGGTTTCAGCTATTTTTGTAGAGTACCACGACAGCACCTTCTGCCCTGTCTCTGCTTACTCGGCCCGGCTATTTCTCTTTTAGTTCAGCTCGTAGCTTCAGAAGGCAGTGCTAAACTCCCCTGCATTTTCAGTCCCCTGCTTTTCTCTTCCTTTACTCGAATCACGGGCCGGTCACCGACCGCCACGCAGTCCAGAAATAAGGCACAAAGCATTAACGCTGAGGTAAGTTTGAGAATATTGTTAGCCAGAGCAAAATTATTCTCATGCCCTTAGTTTTGGGGGGGGGAGGGAAATGTCACTAAATGTAGAGTTAAAGAGGGCCTTTGAAGGCCGAATTCTCTAATGACAGCAAATATTCCGGTAATATCTTCAATAGATGATAAAACTGAGTTTATGAATAAGGAGGCTGCCATACCACAGCACTCTGATATTATATTCATACTTCTAGTAATATTTATGTGGGTAGTACATCTATCCTATCAGCCTTGTAGGTTCACTCTAGGACAGAAGTGTTGGAGGACATTACTAGTGTTTTAAGAGAAAGAAAGAAAGGAAAGAAGAAAAGTTTGATTCGCATGTCGACCTGTGCAAACTAGTATTCGGCATCATGTTTCCAAGAATAAGTTGGCAGTATACACTCGTAACTCGGAGGACCGTCAACAAATCAGGAGTTCAATCTGATGACATTCATCTCTCTCAATTTAAGTATCTACTCGGTATTGGCATAACCACGTCTCTGACACTCTACTCGGACCGAATAGAATTTCCAATGATGACCAACTTCATATTCTGCGGTTCGGACGCGGACTTCTGCATTGACGGCGACATGCACAATCTTTGGGCGCTGGGAGTCGCACGGATTGATGTACCACTCACATTGCCTTTTTCAACACGATGGTAGACTTCTACTACGCCCGGAAGCAACGGGGTCCAGCTACGAGATAGAATTCTTCTCCACACAGGCAGTGCGTGCCGTGAAGGATGAGGAAACAGCGTATCCTTATCGAGACATCACAGCGCATGTGTAAGTGGCTTACATCAATGTTTCCATTCGTTCTCAAGGCAGAAATTAACTAACATGAGGGGAATACTTAGGATACTCACATTCGCCTACGATGATGCCTCCTTGTCACAGCCGGTGAATGACCTAGCCAGTCGTTGGATCTCGAGATATAATGCGACAAGCGGATTTGATCGGTTGCAGGTGTATGTGAGCTATGCTCATGGCACGGAGGGCCTGGATGCGTGGTATGGGGCTGAGAAGCTGCCAAGGTTGTTGGAGTTGAAGAAGTGGTATCCCAAGGGGCTGTTTGTTTATAACAATGGATTGCCGGTGGGGAATTGATGTCACGCGTAGCTTAGAATGTTGGATTGGGTCGGATTAGCATGAAAGGAGGAGTAGATAGGTTGAGGCAGGGTTAGATAGTTGACTTGAAATTTTTCAATCGAAACGGCTACTTTGCCGTCATTTGGATATCAGGTTCTCAATATGCATCTTTCATGAGCCTATACTACCACTTCATGATCAGTATATCAAACCAGTGTTTATTTATTCAATTCATTCCCTCATTATATCATGCCAGTGAGTCGACTGACATGCGATCGAAGTCGGATTACAGGGGAAGCTTAGGAAAGAAGCAGACACGATCGCCTTCTAGGCACTCCATAGGGTGCAGTGAAGTAGTAGTATGAAATCAAGATGAAGTTAGTGTTCATTCTAGATCGGAGGATGGTCAGAGCCACATCATAGCAGGTACGGATGTAGGTGTGGATGAGCAAACGGCTGTCTGGGACCCGAAAGGAATCAGATCTGGCGGAGTGGTTGCACGATATTGATTTTTCCCGGTTGCATCCTCTGTAGTTGGAATTGCTCTATTCTGCTTGGTGCGTTCAGGACTGTGCACCGCACATCCCACACTTTCATTCAGTCTCGCGTAATATGCCGGTCGATCACCGTCGCTCCTGGGGGCGCTTTGCCCAAAAGACGAGACCCTGGTCTTGAATGTCGTACATATGGTTTTCCTTCATGGGCAACTGTTTTGAAAAGCTGCGTCCGCAGTTGGGGGATCTGCTTCGTGATCTGCAGGAACTACATACGGACCGCATTATCATCTAAGCGCAGGTAGAACAAACTAAAATGCTTGCGCGGAATTTTTTATTCCTTGGCCTCTTCAACGTCAGCATAGTCGAATAATCGGACCAAGTCAATATTGCAGATCCTTGAAGAGGGTTTCTCAGTGAACGTCAGCAGCATAGCCACTGTACAAGAGTTTGTATCCCAATATTGTGTCTCGAGAAAAAGTAAGCACTAGTTGTTAGGTTTCCGCTGTCAGATGATCTGCGTCTGGGCCGTGGAGGGGGTATTGGGCGTTTCAGCTGTAGATGATCGAGTGTTCCGCCAACATCTTGATTTCTATTAGGGCTCTCAGGGCTGCATTCCCGATCGGTTGGGGAGCTCTCAGAGAGGCAAGTCCGTGACAGGGATTCTCACGGAGTTTGGCGGACATTAATGCGTATATCCGATGTTATTGAGGGCACTTCGCTGATGTTCATGGAGTGATGGATTTACCCCTCCCTTTTGATAGTAATGGCGGGTTTAATCAAGTATTACTACCCCCCTCTGGTCTTCTCTTGTCCTCCTCATCTGAACATTTTGCTTCTCTTCTTTGTCTCCATCTCGATCTCATCTCGAGCTCCCCAGAAATATCAGTCTACCCCCATCCATACCCAGTTCCCTTGGCTTTTCTTTCAGTTGTTTTACAATTCCACCATGACTATCACTCTCGTCAATAAAGCCATTGGCCCGATCGGGTTTGGTCTCATGGGTATGTCAATATCCCCCTCCCATCCCATCTCCTAGAACAGCCCTTCTAAGCTGACCAATAGGCCTTACCTGGCGCGCCAACCCCACTCCATATGACGAGGCCGTCAAAGTCATGAAGCGCGCTCTAGACCTCGGGGCCAATTTCTGGAACGCTGGAGAATTCTACGGTCCTCCACATGCCAACTCTCTACAACTACTAGACTACTACTTCACCAAATATCCCGAAGATAGCAGCAAAGTAGTCCTCAGCGTCAAGGGCGGTCTGGGCACCAAAGGTCCCGACGGCACCCCCGAAGGCATCCGCGCCAGCATTGATAACTGCTTGAAACTCCTCAACGGCAAAGTATTTATCAGTATCTTTGAGCCCGCGCGAGTCGACCCCAACACTCCCATTGAAACCACCATTGGCGTGATAGCCGACTACGTTAAGGCCGGGAAGATCGGCGGCATCGGTATCAGTGAATGTAGTGAGCAGACAGTACGTCGAGCTCATGCTGTACATCCTCTGGCTGCTGTGGAGGTCGAGTTGTCTCTGTTTTCTACAGAGCCTTTGGAGAATGGAGTTGCTGCTGCGTGTAAGGAACTGAATATTCCGCTGGTAGCATACTCCCCATTGTCTAGAGGATGGTTGACAGGACAACTGCGCTCTTTGGATGATCTGCCTGCCGATGACTCTCGGCGCAATTATCCTCGATTCCAGCCGGATGTGTTTCACCTCAATCTGAAGTTGGTGGAGCAGTTGGAGCAGATTGCTAAGAAGAAGAATGTGACGCTAGCGCAGACTGCTATTGCCTGGGTGAGGGCCCAGAATAAGCTACCCGGCAATCCGGTGATTATTCCTATTCCCGGATGCACTACGGTCGATAGGGTGTGGGAGAACCTGGCTGATGTAGAGTTGTCGGAGTCCGAGGTAAAGGAGATTGCTGCAATTCTGAAGGAGATCCCCGTTCATGGTGATCGGTATGGGGGAGCACTCGCCCGGTTCATGAATCTGTAGGATGCTTAGAGGATTGTCTTGGCTGTGAACAGATCGCTACTAAAAATTCAAACTGTTGAGCTTTTCCAGATGATTCTATATATAATATAAATTACCGCGAGGGATCAGGTGGAGCAATGTCCATTGAGGCATGCTTTCACGCAGACAAATGCAACAATGTTGAGGGCACATCCCAGGCGATAATTGTAGGTGAACAGTCTCTTTTGCATAACAATATCAGACACGATGCAAGGGAAGACCCCGATCTCTTACCAAGTAGTAGCTCTTGACGGATGTCGATGTGCCCAACTGTGACGCCGCAACGTCTCGACATTAAATTACGAGCCCCTGTCGCGCAACTCCACTCAGCCAGGCCCTTAGAAATGTGGTATTCATCAAGCGTGGAGTCCTTTACCCTGCGACGATATTTAGCGGGGTGTTCTTGGTTGCATTAACAGATAGGTTCGGTCGGCGACCCAATCAGGACTGGTCTGCTATCAACTTATTATGAATCATGATTTATGCAACTAGATTGAAGAAATATATATTTACTATATATACGCATATATCCATCTTCAAGTTAGCTTCCAATTTTGTCTTCTCAAGCAGTAAGTATGGACGATTATCTCGACATCTTCGGTCAACAGACCTTCACTATCAACGTTCAATCGTGTTTTTGCTTTCCTCTCCCAGACAACTCCACATGCCCCCAAATCATCGACACACTGAACCAAGGTCTTCAGAGACTCCATACAAGCTTTCCGTGGCTAGCAGGTCAGGTTGTCAATGAGGGTTCAGGACATGGTGATACCGGTTCTTTCATGATCAGGCCGCTGGAAAACGAAGGGCAGCTGGTAGTGAGGGATCTGCAGCATGACCCTTCAATCGCGACAATGAACAACCTACAGCGTGCCAAGTTCCCCATTAGCATGCTTGACCAAAACATTCCGGCGCCTCGCAATATTTTCCCAGACAGCCAAAATGAATCAGCGCCTGTCTTCCTCATTCAAGCGGATTTTATAACGGGAGGCCTTCTTCTCACCTTCGTCGCTCAGCACAATGCTATGGATGCTACGGGCCTAATTAATATCATCCATCTATCTTTTAAGGCATGTCGAAACGAGAACTTCACAGACAAGGAGCTCCGTGACGGCAATCTCCCACGCCGAGATATAGTTCCTTTGCTCGAAGACAGCCATACGATAGGAACCGAGCTCAATTGTTACATGGTCAAACCCGCTTCATACAGACACCCATCCGACTCGCCAGAGGCTCTGAGGCCCAAATGTCCATGGACGTCTTACAAAATCTCTCGTCGCTCACTGGAAGCATTAAAATCTATTGCTATGGCATCCCTCCCACCGCCATCATTCGTCTCCACCGACGATGCTGTCACAGCCTTCATCTGGCAATCTGTTACTCGGGCTCGTCTGCGTCGATTGGATCTCTCAGCCCACTCGACCCTCATGCGCGCCGTGGATGTACGGGGCGTACTCGGTATTTCTTCTCTCTACCCAGGCCCAATATAAAGCAATGTATATACCGAGTTCCCGATGAGAAGACTCGTTGAGGAGCCATTGGGTAACATTGCGCAGCAGCTTTGGTTAGCCCTAAGCGACAAATCGCACTTGGAACACCACACAAGTGCCATTGCAACCTTCCTGAGTCGTACAGCCGACAAGAGTAAATTCACATATGGCGCGTCGATCGATACAACAACAGATCTTCTTTTTAGTTCGTGGGCGACACTGGAGAGCTCTTGTTTCGACTTCAACCTTGGCTTGGAATTGCCTGAAGCTGTACGAAAGCCAAGGTGCAATGAGGTAGGGGGATTGACCTTTCTATTGCCCAAGACGCGTGAAGGCGATTTCGTAGTTGAGATATGTCTACGGGATGAAGATATAGAAGAGCTTCGGTCTGATGTTGTCTTCATGGAGCATGCAGAGTACATTGGATAGAGAAGACGCAATACAGCAGGGACTAAGAAACTTCTGATTTAATAAAGATGACAAGACCTTTCAGGCTAGAACGGACCCGAAAGGAAAGGGGACATAACAGTAAATACTACTCTTAGATCGGTTTATATATTTGTCTCGAATAACTTGTACTTCAGTTTGCCTATGGTGTATAATCATGCAACAATTGTGTACCTCTCCCTTTTCGGCCCCCATGCCCAAAATATTGTTAGAGAGCGCTGTCCAAACACCGGATTGGACACCTCCAACTAATAAGCTTCTTGAAAGCATTTCGAGTACTGAGGTCCACAACGCTGGCTGTGTTTGCCCACAAAATACAGTCGTCGAGTCCATGAGGTGTCAGCTAGTACGTGTCTACCAGTGAAAGACAGCCAGACAAAAAGGCAAATCAGAGTGTGAGCAACTTAGTACTTGCTGAATGTCTCCAGTTCTTTGTCCTTGCGAATCAGGCAAGCAGCATATGACCATGAGGTCTTTAATACATGATGAATTGTTATGACGCACTCAGCTAAGGCAGGGTAAATTTTCTACTCTGAAGGTTCCTATCAATTGCACTAATTCCTTTGTTCCATTCAGCTAGAGAACCACAGGATTATCGCCCATGGAAAAACATGCTGCAGCCTTCCGCACTCCTTGATTGGCGCATTCCCAGCGCCCCTTTGCTAAATAAGGGAGTCAATAAATAACCGCGCATTGAGCCCTGAATAGACTCAATCCCGACCGGACCGCCCTTTAAGCGAGTCGCGCTGCTGCCAAGAACGTAGAAGCTTCGAACCACTATCATACCTCGATTTCGCTAAAAGACACTCAATACGCACATCGTAGACATGCTAATTCATGGTTATAGCCTAACAATTAATGAAGCACTTCCAGCAAAAATGGCGTCTAGTGTCCGTGGATCTGCGGAGTTACATGCTCTCTGTGTTGGTAAACACGCTGTCACATTCTCCATGTCCTCCGGATTGCTCGATAACTTTAACGCGTCTCTTCCAACCACACCGATGAAACTGGTAACAAGACCCCGCCTTATTGGCATACCCGACATTTCTAAAAAGTCTCGCGGGTGAGAAGAGGGGTGTTCTTCACAACAACTGTCGGTTTCCTTGGTTTATATCGAGGGAGGGAGCTACGGGCGACCACAGCACGACATCCTAATAGGAGTGCAAGAGACAGTTCAGTTTCTGCGGCAATTTAATCCGCAGGTGGGTAAAGGTTTGAGACAGCCTCGCCTGAGACAGCGCAAGTATCAGTACCTGAATCCAATGCGACATTCGAGCGGCCATGAGGTATCTCAAGTATCTCTTGGGACTTCTCTCCCTGCTACACACGGGTATAGCTACAGCCCCTGATTATGTCGTGGTAGACCAACTAAGCAGCATCCCCGAAGGATGGAGCAAAGGCGCAGCTCCATCGCCATCTACAACGATGAAGTTTTGGTTGTCGATGCATCATGACTACAAGGCGGAATTCGAGCAGAAAGTCATCGATATCTCGACACCCGGTCATCGAGACTACGGACGGCATATGAAACGTGACGACGTGAGAACCTTTATGCGGCCATCCGACCAGGTTTCCAAGACCATCTTCTCATGGCTTGAGTCCGAGCATGTTCCATCGGATGCTATTGAAGATCGCGGGGATTGGGTCGCCTTCACGGTCCCGTTGGGCCAAGCACAATCAATGATGAAGACGGATTTCTACAACTTCCACCACCTGGAGACAAACACAACCCAAATCAGGACGCTCAAGTACTCAGTCCCGGAGGAAGTCGATCCCTTTCTCCAAATGATCCAGCCAACGACACGCTTCGGGCAACCCAAGACGCAAACCAGCCTACCGAGCCTCATGCCGGTGTCAATCAACATAGACGAAATAAGCGAAGACTGCTTAACAGGCGTAACGCCAGCTTGCCTCCGCCAGCTCTACGGCCTACCCAGCACCAAAGCAACTCCCGACTCGCGAAACGTCCTCGGTATTTCCGGCTACCTCGATCAATACGCACGCTACAGCGACCTCGACGAGTTCCTAGAAGTTTACTCTCCGGACAGCATCGACGCCGACTTCTCCGTAGTTTCCATTAACGGAGGCCAAAACCCCCAAAACTCCCAGGAAGGAAGCACAGAAGCCAGCCTCGACATCCAATACGCCCTCTCCATGGCATTCAACGCTAACGCGACCTTCTACACTACGGCCGGACGTGCCCCGTCCGTCTCGGACACGGGTACGGTGAGTACCGACGGATCGACCAACGAGCCGTATCTCGAACAGCTCCACTATCTGGTGGGTCTTCCGGACGAGGATCTCCCCGCAGTACTTAGCACGTCTTACGGCGAGGAGGAGCAAAGCCTGCCGGAGGAATACACGGAAGCCACGTGCAATTTGTTCGCCCAGTTAGGTGCGCGCGGGGTCTCCGTGATCTTCAGTAGTGGAGACTCGGGCGTCGGAGGGGGTTGTGTATCCAACGACGGGAGTCAAAGGACCCGCTTCCAGCCTATTTTCCCGGCTTCGTGTCCGTTTGTGACATCCGTGGGTGGGACGGAGGGCGTCGAGCCGGAAAAGGCTGTGGACTTTTCGGCAGGTGGGTTCTCCGAGCGTTTTGCTCGTCCGTCGTACCAGAATGCTAGCGTGGAAGCATACCTCGCCCGATTAGGTGACAAATGGGATGGATTGTATAACCGAGACGGACGGGGCATTCCTGATGTGTCGGCTCAGGCTAGCAATTTTGTTATCAGGGACCATGGACAATGGTTACAGACTGCGGGAACAAGGTTAGTAGACTACAACTAATACATGAACAAATAATTAGAATCGAACGAGCTAATGATATTCTAGTGCTGCCGCCCCCGTCTTCGCAGCAGTCATCTCCCGACTAAACGCCGCACGTCTCAAGCAGGGTAAACCTACACTAGGGTTCCTCAACCCGTGGCTCTACTCGCTCGATCAGAAGGGATTCACTGATATTGTAGACGGCGGATCAGTGGGCTGTGAGGGAGCAAATGGAGGAGCTCTTGTCCCGTATGCCAGCTGGAATGCCACCAAGGGATGGGACCCGGTTACTGGGCTGGGAACGCCTCTGTATCAGACCCTGGAGCAGATGGCGCTGTCAGCTTAGTACGCAGCGGGCTGACCTAATTTGTGTACTGCTGATGTTTTGTTTGTTGTTTTGCCAATGGTGATTAGTTTGAGATAATTGCGACGAATAGATTTCGTAACCAAACCAATAATCACGATAGATGTAAGAATTGAAGGACGATACTAGGTCTTGAAAGTGGATTTTTAGAATTCGCTAGTGGTTGTGGTGCTCGTGGTGAGGACAACATCCGCGATGCGTTAGGATACCCGCTACATGTGTCCAGTGACTTAGCTACAGCTACAGCAGTAGTAATCTAGATGAGAGTCCATAAGCTAATCGCCCCTGAAACATCTAAGCTTACCTATCCACACCCGTACAGCCTTGTACACAACAACTTACTACGGTGAGAGATCCTTCACAAGTCCGTAAGATCGAAGAATTACTATACACGCAGTAAGCACTAACCAACAGCTTAGGCAGCACAACGACTATAAATCTTCTCTCTGCACCACCCCATTGCCAACCACATTCCTATCAAACACAATTCACATCTCAATCTACAATCCCACAAACCAACCACTTACAATGTCCCCCAAAACCATCCTCGTCATCGGCGCCACCGGCAACCAAGGCCGCGGCGTCGTCCAGCACTCCCTATCCGCGGGCCACTCCGTCTCCGCCTTCGTGCGCAACCCAGCCAGCAGCGCCGCAGTCCAACTCGCCGAACAAGGTGCGACTCTCGTCACAGGCGACCTCGACGACCTGGAATCTCTCCGCAGTGCGACACAAAACGTGGACGCCGTGTTCTTCACCGAAGTGCAAACTGGCAAACCCGAGGCTGATTTCCAGCGCATGGAGAACATCATTCTCGCGGCGCAGGAATCGTCCACTATCTCGCATATTATTCTCGGGACGGCGCTGAAGACAGGCGAACATGAGTCATTCCCTGGATGGGAAAGTGGTGCTCACCCGATGAAGGATTACTGGTTGAACAAGCATGCCTTGGAGAACCGTGTTCGTGAAGTAGCGGAAACCAAGGAGGGCGGGCGCTGGACGATTATCCGACCGGGCCACTTCCTTCAGAACCTCCTGCCGCCTGTGCGGGACTTCATGTTCCCTGGGTTCAAGGAAGAGCGGGTCCTGCGCGTGGCATATCGGCCGGACACGGAGCTGCCGTTGGTGGATGCTCGGGATGTGGGGATTGTGGTTGCGGCGGCAGTTAAGGAGCCTGAGAGGTTTGCGAACAAGGCGGTCGATGTGGCAGTGGAGGTGGTGACGGTGGAGCAGTTGGCAGGGAAGATTGGGAAGGCGGTGGGTGAAGAGGTGAAGGTGGAGTTTTTGGATGATGAGGTCGTGGATGGGATGATCAAGGAGGGACATCTTGGTGCTGCTTCGTCGAGATGGGCGGATGAGGTGCCCGGTGGGGATGGAGTGAGCAATTGTCGTGAGCAGTTGGGAGTGTTGGCGGAGGGACTTACTTCCGTGGATGCATTCTTGAAGGAGCATGAGAAGGAGATTTTGGCTTGATGTTGATGCTGCTGGTTATGGTTTTGAACGTGGAATGAGCTGGTTTGCTTGTTTGAGCATGTTATATGTAAAGGTCTGTTTATGTGATTCTGCAATGTACAGTTATCTGGAAATGATATGAATGTCTCGTGCCATATTAGATCTGACTGTAAAACCTCCATGCAGGGGTTGGCTTGGACAAAGCATAGACCCCATGCCATTCGTAATATCCTCGTGAAATCAGAATTATAAGCCGACGATGAAATGACCTTCTGATCCTCGGGCAGAAGAGATGTTCCAATGTCGCCTCAATTATCCTCCTGCCATCTGGTGGACCAGAATTAGCAAGGGAGGTTTGTAGCTTCCTCGTGCAGCCTCCATCTTTGATGCTGTGTAGGCTGCCTAGATGGGGCGAAGAGAGCAGAAGAGCTTGTTTCTGAATTGAAAAGTCAAAGGTACTAGCTAGTACACAAACTAGACATAGAGGCTCTGCCCTTACTTAATAGACTGGGTGCTGATGGCGTGAAAAATATCGAGGCCAGCTTCTTACCGTCTTTGTCTTTGTCAAGGACTAGATATTGACAGCAAGTTACCCCTGCAGGTTCTACTAGCCTATGGCAGCCTCATCAACGCCAACGCGAAGGAGGATCACGATTTTAATCGTGCCCTTAAGGGTGGCGGTTCCAACTTTGGTATTTATGGCATCTTTCCAAACATAAATTTGATCATCGATTAACATGCTAAACAAGCATTATGAAACGATCTGACCACGAAACTCATGAGCTGATCAAGATCAAATAGAATATCAACGTCTACAGTCCAGAGGACCATGTGGCCATTGAAAAAGCCACTGTGGCAGTCCAGCAGGCCCAAGAAGAGGACCCCAAAATTGGGCTTTTTGCCAACTTCAACGGCTCTGTCGCAGTAAGCATGTTCCATAGGGATCACACAGCCGAGCCACCGAAGGCCTTTGAGCTGTTCCACAACCTCAGAAGTCTGGTGACTACGGTGCTGCCATCCACTAGCGGTACGCCACCGTCATTTTCCCAAGCTCTGGGTGAGGTGGGCCACGCTTAAACGTCCCAGAAGTGAATACAGACCCCACGGGGGCGATATGCATTAGTTCAATCGAAAAATAACCTAATGCGTGATTACAGACGACCCATTTGCAAAGTTACTACGCAGGTTTCTCAGAGTTATGTGATAACATGTATACGACGAGGCTCGAAGTCTGCAAGACCTGCCCTTTTTGCGCTGTCTTGCATAACGCCATTCAGTCAATGGGTACAGTTGGTGTTCGAGTCGGTAAAGATCGCGGAGGAGATATCATGGGCCTTGAAAGTGTCCCACAGTGCTGCACGTCCCACAATTCTCTTATGGTCTTTGATGCTCAACCACAGGACTAACGGACGTAACAAACGAAAGGGTGTGTTTTCACCTTTGAATGGCCTGAAGACGGTAGTGACGATACCGCGGCCCCAAAGGCCGTAGATACCATGTGCGAAGACGATACAGTTTCTGGCCAGAGAGTAGGGCGTACTCTTAGACTTAATGTATGACCTTTGCCACTGGCTCTCAAAGGGTCCTTGGCAGCTACGGAGCCGAGAATATCAGGCTCATGCAGGAGGCGGCGGCCAAGTACGACCCGGAGGGCGTCTCTCAGAAGCTTCAGATGACGGTTTCCTTTTACGCCACAATATATGCGGAAGCATAGTTGAAAGTATGCTACATGTAAGCAGAAGAGCCAGTGGCTCTTTGCAGCTCAAGAGAGAAAAGAGTTCAAACAATGTAAACAAGATAAGCTCAACCCGTAGTTTTGCCCGATTATGTCACGTGATTGGCTTCTCCGAAGCTCCTGGAAGCTGCGGCTGCCAACGTCACGACCAGCACTTCCATCTCGAAACCACTTTACCACCACACCAATCCAACCAGTCTATCATTTCTAATTCCTCCCTATCTTGCTCCTCGTACACATATACTTACACAGCCGATACATTCTACTATTCTAATCCACAATGGCCAACGACCTCAAGGTCATCGTGTCCGAGCTCCACAGCGCCCTCGGCCGGCAACAATTCGAAGCCGTCAACGACCTCCTCAGTCGCGGCAAGCGCGCCCTCCTCCTGCAGAATGTCCTGATTCCCACGCCGTCAGCACCCGCCGAGCTTGTCGCCCAGGCCCGCGAGGTTCTCGAGCTTGGAGCCATCGCCTCTATCCGACAGACCGACGCACCTACCTTCACACGATACTACCAGCAGCTGCAGCCGTTCTACGACCTGGAGCGGGACAGCACGAATGCCGGCCACGTGGACATCCGAAACAGCCAGCGCAGCAAGATCACAGGCTTGTATCTGCTGTTGTTGTTGAGCATGGGCGACAGCACGAGCTTCCACACGGTTCTGGAGGGTCTGGTCGAGGAGGCGAGTCTGAAGGGCAAGAGCGTTGAGGATGATCCGTTCATCAAGTATCCGGTTGAGCTGGAGAGGAATCTGATGGAGGGAAGCTACGATAAGGTGTGGAGGGAGACAAACTCCGAGCGCGTGCCCTCCGAGGACTTTGCGCTGTTTTCGAATGTGAGTATACCATTGCCTGCTTTTATTATGCGAGCTGCATTTTCTTGTCCATGGGTTGGCTAGCTAATGCTGATGATGCAGGTCCTGGTCGGAACCATCCGCAGCGAAATCGCAGACTGCTCCGAAAAGGCGTACCCGTCCCTCCCCATCTCCAACGCCAAGAACCTCCTCTTCCTCGATTCGGAGGGCGCCGTGATCGAGTTCGCCCAGCAGCGCGGCTGGGTCCTCCGTGACGGCCGCATCTTTTTCCCCGTCGAGCCCGAGGCGGCTGCCCGGTCCGAGAAGGATATCCTCGTGGCCAGCGGCACGATCATTGAGAATGCGATCGGCTATGCGCGCGAGCTGGAGACGATCGTTTGATTTATCTATAATCATTTCATTCTCGGGTTTCGTTTCGGGACGGGGCGTGTTTCGTTGGTATACCTGTTGTTGATGTTCACTTCTGCATATGACCTCTCGAGCGTTTTACGAACATAACATAAACCTACTTCCTCTCCCTCTTCCCAGATCTTATGTAGACTAGGCAAGTATACTCATACATTAACCCGCCACACACAAACCCTCCGATCATAAAAGCTACTCGACACAACCACCAACTCCCCTCCTTTCCCTCTCAAAGTCCACACATCACTCGCATAATTCATACTCTCGTGCTCCGTAAACTCCGCCAGCACATCCATCTCACACTCCCTTAATTCCCCACTCTCCCCACCCACAACCCGCGCCTTAACCACCCTCGTCCCAGCATGCATACAACTCGCCAACACCAGGAACTCCCACTCCCTACCCCCCTCCTCACCATCCAAAGTACGAGACTCAGAAGAAAGAATCTGCAACCTCCAAACACCACCCCCGAGCCCAATCTCCCCAAGTACCTCCCCCCGCCGAGAAGCATGATACACCCGCAACGACTCATCATAACTTCCCGTTAGAAGCCACGGCGCGCCATCAGTCATAGGCACAGGGAGGGGCAAGATGGCCGTCACGCCTGCAGTGTGGTGGCGGGCGCGGTCGTCGTGGGAGAGGATAGGCGTGCTAGCCTCGGCTTCATCCTCATCGTCTGAGTTGGTGTTGCTGGAAGGTGCAGGAAGATAGCGAGTATGCAGCGAGCCGAAGTCACTCCCTGTAAAGATATAGCGCATCTTATCACCACCATCGGATTGAGGTGGTGGGTACGTAGCTGCTGCTACGAACCAGACTTCTATTTGCTGGGTGGCGGGGTAGCATGATTCTTCTGCTATGGAGAAGGAATTAGGAGATGGGGATAATAGTTTGGTGTTGAAGATGGTGGTTAGGCCGTCGGAGAAGGTTACGGCGAAGCCGTATTCTGTTCCAAGTCCAGTAGAGGAGGGGGAAGTGGTGGTGGAATGCCATCCGGCTGGTAACCAGGCTAGATAGAGGGCTGGGATGGAGGGGTCTTCGTGGACTTGGTGGGAGTGGATCTCCTTAATACAGGAACTGATGTCCTCTCCTGCATCAATGTCGGGGTTGATGCGGAAAAATACCACTGATGCTGCGCTGGTTGCTATCGCAGCCAGGGTTGGGTCAGTGGGGTGGAAGTGCAGATCGAAGACTGCGTATGGGAGTGGATGTTTGTGGCGAAGGGTTCTGTCACTTCTTAGTTTCAGATATTTCTTGTGTATTTAGATAGCATTAGGGGTGAGGGTACAGTTGGTTTGTGGCAGGATCTAGATGCCATAATTGGAGACTGCCGGTTTTGGTTTGTTGGATTGGTGCAGACTCATCTTCCTTGTGTTCTGAGAGCAGGTAGGTGCCTACGAGGAAGTGGTTCGGGGAGGAGGGGTGGAATTGGAGACAGCTTGGGGGCTGGTCCAAAAAGATGGTTGTATCTGAGGACGGGTGTTGAGTCATGGTTGTAATAGTTGATACTATATCAATATTTTATTATATTAGATGTTAAAGTGGGATGAATTGCATTGCCGTTTTGGGTTTTATGCTGCTTTGGGGATACATCCCGCTATGCTTAGTCAGGATATACACATAAATATGAACATAACTGGATCTGGGATTGTCTGCTACATCCCAAACCGTAGGATCATGCTGTTACTCTGCCATATGCCATTGATCGCCAACTCGAAAGCCTATCGGCCATGGATCAGTGGGATCCAGCACCATCTGCTTGAACGAATTGATCCAAGCACTTCCTTTGACTGTCGGCAAGACAGCGTCATAGTCCCCTAATTTCTGCGTCCCGCGGATGTGGCACTCGAAAGTGCTTCCAATGATGCTGTGATGCTGGAATCTCTCGCCTACTGCGAGCTGGCCACGGGCATGAAGTACTGCCATCCTTGCGCAGCTTCCCGTGCCACACGGGCACCGATCAAACCGCCCGGGAGAAACCACAACGGTATTGACGGCCGTCATAGTATCCCGCTGAAGTGGCTCTGTAAATTCGAGGATACTAACGCCTCTTATGCTGGGGTTCTCTGGATGGACGGGAACAAATGGAGCTTTTTGGAGAGCATCTTTGATTTGCTCTCCGTATTCAATCAACTTCGGCCCGTTTTGGTTGCTGATGCTAATACCAAGTGAAGTCGCATCGACAATCCCGTAGATCATTCCTCCCCATGCAATATCCACCGAGACAGTCCCCAGTCCAGGGACATCGACCTTGTAATCCAGGGCGAAAACAAACGAAGGGACGTTATCGAACGCGACCGCCTTGCACCTCCCACCCTCGCAGTCCGCGGTGACAGGCACTAGACCTGCCGGAGTTTCCAGGACTATCTTGGTGATCGGTTCAGTCATAGGCACCATGCCTGTCTCCAGAAGGACAGTCGTAGTAGCAATGGTGTTTCCTCCAGACATGGGAGGGTACTCTTCGGTCTCCATGATTAAAAACCCAGCGTCGGCCTTTGGGTTACAAGGAGGCAAGACAAGATTCACACACATAGCCGGTCGTCCCCGAGGCTCTTGCATGAGAAGCTGGCGGATATGGTCTTCTTTGTCGCGAAAGTGAACGAGCTTCTCGTACATGGTGCTGCATCCCGAGGGATTCAAAACACCTCCGACGATCACATCGCATACTTCGCCGGCACAGTGGCAGCCCACGACGTTGATGGACCTGGCGAGTCTCATTTTCTCGGTGGATAATACTCAAGGGAAGTAGGTTTGAGATGGTTGTCAGTTGTAGGATTAGCCAGAGCTCGTGGGCTATTTATCGCTTTCAGCACCCGCTCGAGCATGTCCATGTTACTGATACTCTGCATACTGTTTGGAGCAGGCGAGATAGCCAATGCCAAATCGCCGGCAGTGCAGCCGATCAGAGACATCTTCTTGTCACCCGCCAGGTCACTTGTCATTTGTTGGCTGACTTGGATGGAACACAGTACTGTCATTCAGTGATAGAGTGCATGCGGGGAAGTGATTAGTCTGTCGGGAGCCTAAGCGATATCTCACAATATGCATCGGCAACGTTCCCGACAAGCTGGTGCAATTGTGAACCTTCATGGCCAATTATCGCAATCAGAAAAAAAATCACTCATCTATGGTTAGTTGTGGCTTAGATGGAAGTGGCGGAAATTTGGCCACTATGCTCAATGCTTTTCAATTGAATTTATAGGGGAACATTTCAAATCAATAGTCCAGAGATACTGTTGACATCATAATAGTAGCAGAATCATGGAAGATAATCGTAGAGTCATGAAAGGCATCTCACTATGGTTAGTGCAAGACTTAGTACGGAAATACATCGATGAGTGGGGAATACTTCCCCGCCTGTTTGTGGGGGTATCTTTTGATAAGCATCTGTCTCTTCTCACACCAGTCTTTCTTACCTTATAGTATCTTTCTTATCAGAGTTGCTTCTCAACTTGCAATCTCTTCTCATGGTATAGCTTTTTCTCATCTGGTGGTTTCATCTATCTTGTCTCTACTCAATACACCTTTTTCTCTTCCGAAACTCTCTGCTGAACTTCGCTTCTTAACCTCACTCTAAGTTGTTCTATCGCATCTTTCAACTGAATTTCTCGTGTCCTGTCATACTTAGAACATTCTCTTGAAACACTTTCCTGGACGTTTCACCCAAGATGAAAAAGAGTTCAGTGGCAGGCGTTGCACAGGCCAGAAAGAGATCAGCTAAGGTGTAAGAGGCATTCAAGTGGTGAACTAACTACTATCGCTAATGATATTCCGAAAAGGTGCGTACGATGTCGAAGACAGAAGATCAAGTGCTCTGGAACACAGCCATGCTTTAGCTGCAGCAATCGCAATTTCTCTTGCATATCCGACGACATGAGCCAGAAGGTTCTAGTGACACGGAGGTCTACCACACCGGGCCTAACCATTCATACCGTCGACTGACAATTGAGAGCTACATAGGCAAATTGCGGAGTTGAAGCAGAGGGCAGCACAATTAGAGAAGCATACGAATGACCTTCACACTATGGCCTTAGCTTCCGACAATAGTACTTGTTAGTTCTCATAGTCTGGCCACCGAGTCAATGCTAACAATTTCAGGCTCGGCTACTCGTGAACGTCCTACCGGGAACACACCGGATAAGTATCATGCTCCCCAAGACGGAGAGAATCCTGAATCTGGGTTGATGAATCCACTAGTCTCCGGGCCACCTGCCTTCATGTCACCGGGCAATGGAAGAACTTGTACGTTAATATCACTTCGTGACCTGGAGAAACGTCTAACAACTTCTAGATTATTTAGGGACATCCTCCAATTGGTCCTTCGCTCGACGCGTACTCAGTATGGTTCATGAACATGTCCACAAAGCCACCTTACCAACAGAGGCGCTGGTGTTCGAGGGGACTGCATATGATCTAGGCTGGGACGGATCTCGAATTGACCCGAGTCCAGAAAGCCCTGTCATTCCAACTCTTGATCATGCCATATTCCTGATCAATGCCGTCAGGTTTCGCTGCGGGCATTTATACCACTTGTTTGATGACAGTGACTTTATGGTATCACTCTATACTTTCTACTCGGAAGGTCAGAGGGCAAGACCGAGGGGCCTATGGTACATCCACTTTCTTATCATTCTAGCTTTCGGGAAAATGTTCACTCAAGTGAAGTACCTTAAAGGAAAACCTGCTGGCATCAGCCTTTTTGTCAAAGCTTTGCAAATTCTGCCAGATCACACCCTCCTTTACTCCTCGCCGATGGTGTCGACTGAGATTCTATGCTGTATTGCCATTTTCTACCAATCCCTTGACTGTCGAACTGCCTCTCATAACTATGTCAGCCTCCCCTAAAGAGATTTGCGAAGTCGTTAGCTGATCAGATGCAGGTGGGCCAAGCGATGCGAATGGCCATGGCTCATGGCATGCACACCTTCATGTCCGTCACCGACCTGGGACGGGATAATGTGGAGAGGTGCCGGAAGATTTGGTGGACTGTCTATATTCTGGACAGGCACATGACATCTATTCAGGGGCTTCCCCAGTCTGTCGACGACCGCTTCATTCAAGCCAAGTTGCCCTCTCCTGAGGGCTCTGAAAATATCAAAAGCTTGGACATGCACATAAAATTATGCCGGAGCATAGCTGATATCAACGCCAGTAGGTTCCCATTCATATACACATTTGATAACTTTGCTCAAAAAGATACAGCAGTATATGCCACTGATGGCAGACTTAACCGAACCTTTCTATTGAACATCAAAGGAGCATTGTCCAACCTAGCAGGACTGGCAGATGAACTGAACAAGTCATTCCCTCTACAATTAGAAGCGACAGACAGTGGACTCTCTCGAGTATCAGCATATCTGCACCTATTTTACCAACAGGTGAGAACTACTATTTAGCCATCATTCTCATATTGACTCGATCAGTGCGTGATAGTGGCTACCAGGCCTTTGTTGTTTTGCTTTCTCAAAATCCGACTTGAGTCTGCGGAAACCTGTGTTCAATCCCTCCAAAAATCTCCAAATGTTAGGAACTTGATCAAAATCTGCTTAGACTCTGCGCAGCACAGCATAAGGATTCTGCACGATCTTGCGTCTCAGGGTCTTCTAGGTAAAGAACATGACTGTCCGATATTGTTATGAGACTAACAGGACGATGACTAGAAACCTTTCTCACTTTTGATCTGGAATCTCTTTTCATCTCCACGGTGGTGCTTCTAATGGCCCCGACAATTGACCGTCAATTGATAGCCAACGATACGTGGTGGCATGCTACAGCGGACCTAATATTCAATGACATGGTCGAGGCTGGGAATCAGATAGCACGGTTCCGGCATTCGGAAATACAGCAGCTAGACGAGAGACTGAATTTGCTCATGCCACGCCAGGACCAGAATGGGCAATCCAATTCTGAAGTTCCTCTACACTTTAACACAAAACTGCCCTTTCCTTCGCACGAAGCTCATACTGCAACACCTATCGACGGAAACTCTTGTTCTGATCCATTCCTTGGTGGTGATACCACACCGGCGGCTGGATGTGCATTTGAGCCATCGTTGACATCTTCTGAGATGATGACCATGGCGAATTCGATCGAATTGTTTGACGCAGAATGGGTATCGACGATGATGGACAACCATGCTATTTGGTAGTCCTAGCATATACGTCCTGCAGCTGAACATATCTATGTTATTCTCCCTGACAAATATGGCAATCGACTACTTGTATCTCACAAACTACCCTGCTTCTCCTGATAAAGTCTCAAAACCTCCCGGCCAGCCGTCAAATCAGTAAGACCCACGCCGACACTCTTATAAGCAACCAACCCCTCCTCCATAAACCTCTCCACACGCCGAACATGCTCATCACCAGATACCTGGATCCTCCCACTCTTCAAAGCAAGTAACTCCCCAATCTCCACCACATCCTCCTCTTCCAACCCACTCTGCACAACCTCCCCACACCCATGCATCGCATACTCCCTATCATCCACCAATACTACCCCCCTCCCCCACTCCCCAGTCAACGGATTAAACCCCTCCTCACCAGATACCACCCTCCTAAGCAACTCCGGATCCAACTCAATCATCTCCGGCAACCAAGACCCAATCGCCGAAACCAACGGCCTCCTCCTCCCTGCCTCACCCTTCTCCATCACCCACGCCGCCGGAAAAAGCATCTTCTGGGAAGGCGTCGTACAAAACACACAATCCGCCTCCCTCAAAGACCTCTCAACCTCACCATCGCTACCAGCACTCACGAACGCAAACTTACACCCCTCCGACCCCCACCTCCCCCCCATCTCCTCCCTCACCCTCCCAACTAACTCCTCCACCCGTCCCCTCGAAGAACCAACAAACGTAGTACACCGCACCTCCTCCCCCCTCAACCCCAATATCAACCGCGTATGCCACAATGCCTGCATCCCAGCCCCAAATATCACGATATTAGATACATGTTTCCGCCAGGAAAACGGAATCATGGCGCTCATCGACGTCCGATAGCCGGTTATTTCCTCCGCGGATAAGATTCCCGTGGGGTTGCCCAGCGGGTCTAGTATGATTAGGAGGCCTTGGATTGGGTGCTCGCGTTTTCCGGTGGTGGAGTTGGGAGCTGGCTCGACGACGAGCTTGGCGCCGATGCTGTCTGGGGAGGTGAAGGGGCGGAAGAGTGTGCGTTGTCCGTTCGGACGGGTTATGGTGCTTGGCGGGGGTTGGTGTTGCCGTTCGGGGGTCGTGGAGAAGGATATGAGGGTGGAGGAGATGATGTGGAGGAAGTGGTGGATCTCGGGGCGTGTGAGGTTTAAAAGGAGGGTTTGGATGGTGGGGTTGGGGAGGTGGTGCATGGTGCTTTTTGGTTTTTTTCTTGGGGATATGTGGGTGGAGGGTGTAATGAGGTAGATTTGAGTCAAGGGAAGATGATCTCAGAGGATTAGGTTCTGTGAATATAGGATTATGCGGAGTATGAGTGCATCTAAATACTACTGGAATGATGCTGTTGTAGGCACAGATGCCGATGCATCGGGAGGGTTGCCGTAGCGTTGTGGGCTGCATCGGGTGTGCTGCCGACTGATATTGCAACGGAGATCTTGCGGAATTGATTGTCTTAGTATGAAAGCAAGTGTATTAAAGTCATATTAATGGTCTAATCTGCGGTAACCAAATAATGCAAGGCAACGGCAATCCGTGATGTGCTGGCCGGGTCTAGTTCATTTCACAAGGCTGACAGAACATCAGGACAACTTCCTCCCCAACGAGATTCGACCACCAGTTCATCGTGATTTTCCTATTATTAATGCAACAAGTAATGATCTACATAAGACATGCCAACCACAGAAATGGAAACAAAGCCAGTTTTCAGCAGGCTGAGCTAGAGCTAGCTGAGTGTCAACGCTAACAACCGAGCCGGTCAGTTCTATAGTAGCGCCGGTTGGTCCGCTCGTCTAAACATGTATAACGATTGACGGGGCTAAACATACCCTGCAGGGGTCTCTCCCACGAACCCAGCACATAAATATGTGACTGAATCGCCATCTCACAGCACCAACTATTATCAGCCTCCACAATGGGAGCCCAATTCTCTCAATTCTTCCCTCCCCGCCCAACCTTCACCCCCGGTGACCTCCCCCAGCAATCGGGCAAAGTGGTGCTCATCACCGGCGGCGCATCAGGCATCGGCTTGGAAGTAGCCAAGGTCCTCTTCCGCAAAGGCGCCAAAGTCTACATAGCAGGACGATCAGAGTCCGCTGCACAGGCGGCCATCCAGGCCATCCTGAAGTCCGCCCTGGAGACTTCCAAGTCCAGCACAGGCGAGCTACATTTTCTCGAACTGCATCTAGACGACCTCTCTACCATCAAGGCCACTGCATCTACCTTCCGCAGCAAGGAATCCAAGCTCGATCTCCTCTTCAACAATGCCGGCGTGTCCCAACCTCCGCTCGGCAGCGTCTCCAAACAAGGCATCGAGCTCCAACTCGCAACAAACTGTCTGGGCCCATTCCTCCTCACTCAGCTCCTAACCCCCCTTCTTGAAGCTGCAGTGTCATCCGAGTCCAGCATCCCCGGCTCCGTCCGCGTCATCTGGACAAGCAGCCAAGTCGCCGAACTCTCCGCTCCGCCTGAAGGCATCATCATGTCGGAGCTAACCAACCCTCCGAAAGACGCCGTGCGGAACTACGTCACCTCCAAGCTGGGCAACTGGTTCCTGTCCACGGAAATGGCCCGTCGGTACGGCGAGAAGGGCATCGTCAGCGTAGCGCAGAATCCGGGCGCAGCTAATACGAATCTCTTGAGGAATGCGCGCTGGATGAAGATCCTTTCTTGGCCGCTGCTGCATAGTCCGGCTTTGGCGGCTCATACGGTGCTGTATGCGGGGCTATCGGGGGATTTGGGGCTAGAGAATAATGGTGCGTATGTTGTTCCTTGGGGAAGGGTTCATGATGCTGTGGCGCCGGGGTTGTTGGATGCGATGAAGAGTAAGGAGGAGAGTGGGACGGGGAGGGCGTGTGAGTTTTGGGAGTTTTGTGAGGAGAGGACAAGAGATTATATGTAGAGAGGATTTGAAGGGATTCCCACTTCGTTATAGGGAAGTCATAATTAGTGCCATGCGGAGGTATCCAAGGGTATCTTGATACTTGAGTGTATACTGCCCGTGTTTGTTCTAGGGGAGCACGGACACATGTGAATGTGGCTTATCTAGATCATAATCCCCAATCAATTGAGTTAGACCAGTGACGACGACACAGCCCAAAACCTACTTAATTTCATCTTGAAGCGAGCTTACTGCAGCAGTAGCCTTAGAAGTAATCCAATCAACTGCGATTCCCTCTCAACCTGCACATGATGATGACCGTAATACATGTCGATCTGCTGGCCTCGTTGAGATTACTTGGATTTTCCAAATACTTATAAACACGATTTATTCTCCAAACCTGGAGTGGAGACTTATATTCTCGAATAGGTAGAACACGGGAGTACTAAGCTACGCTACTTGAATGAGTGATAGCTGCCCCCATCCGCATCGGGGTAAGAGGTGGTTGATATATGCTGACCCTTATAATGACAGATGAAATAGACGCAATACCATGAGGGCTTGCAGTAATATTGATAAGCACTATGGCTCTGTCCAATCCTCGCGCTGTTTTATCTGCGTGAAGCTCAATGGAGGAGCAATAATTAATTAGTAGTGAAGGTGAGCCTCGGACTAGCCGTGACCCCGCCCTTCATCTAATATTGCTTACTCTTTAATACATTTTCTGGACAACCCCTCATTTCTCATCACTCCTCTCTTTCATCTCTATTTCTTCTACTCAAACATTCAGTTAGTTTCAATACATCATGTCCGCTCCGTTCGCCAAGTTTCCCTCGTCGGCGAGGATTTCGCCTAATCCCTTCACTGTCTTCATCCCGGATGAGCAGTTGGACGACTTGAAAACCCTCATCCGACTGTCCAAGATTGCTCCTCCCACCTATGAGAGCCTGCAATCGGATGGCCGATTTGGCATCACTTCCGAATGGCTGACATCTATGCGAGAGAAATGGCTCTCGGAGTTTGACTGGTTTGGTTGTGTATCTGGTTCATCGATGTGCAATACTGACAGGCTATTTTAGGCGACCATTTGAAGCTCGACTGAACTCTATCCCTCAGTTTACTACAGAGATCGAGGGTCTCACGATTCACTTTGCTGCTCTATTTTCCCAGAGAGAGGATGCTGTACCCATCGCATTGCTCCATGGTTGGCCCGGTAAGTATATACTCGGTCTCGCTTACGGTATGTTCAAGCAGATTTAATCAGTTTACAGGCAGCTTCGTTGAGTTCTACCCAATCCTGCAGCTATTCCGGGAGGAGTACACCCCTGAGACTCTGCCATTCCATCTGATCGTTCCGTCCCTTCCTGGGTATACCTTTTCATCTGGTCCCCCGCTGGACAAGGACTACGGCTTGATGGACAACGCCCGGGTCGTAGACCAGTTGATGAAGGACCTCGGGTTCGGAAGTGGTTATATTATTCAAGGTGGCGATATTGGGAGCTTCGTTGGACGACTGTTGGGCGTTGGTTTCGACGCCTGCAAAGGTTAGTACTGCTTCGCCATTGAATATGCTGCCATGCTAACGTCCGCCAGCGGTTCATTGTAAGTGCGCCGCCCTCATATATGTTTACAAGACACCAACGGTATAGTGAACCTGTGCGCAATGAAGGCTCCCCCTGAAGGCCCGTCAATCGAGAGCCTGTCTGCAGCGGAGAAGGAGGGAGTTGCGCGAATGGAGAAATTCATGACTGATGGCCTAGCTTATGCCCTGGAGCACAGTACTCGGCCCAGTACTATTGGCCATGTGCTGTCCAGCAGTCCGATCGCATTACTTGCCTGGTGGGTTTGCTTTTTCTCGGACAAGACTATGTTACAGTTTCTGGCTGACTGCATCCAGGATTGGTGAGAAATATCTCCAATGGGTGGACAAGCCCCTCCCTTCTGAGACTATCCTCGAGATGGTGAGCCTGTATTGGCTGACGGAAAGTTTTCCGCGGGCAATTCATACCTACCGGGAGGTATGTGTGAAGAATGTAACCTATTGGTAGTATCAGTATTTGTTGTGCTGACAGTGCAGACTACCCCTACTGCCTCCGCTCCCAATGGAGCGACGATACTGCAGAACGAATTATATATTCACAAGCCATTTGGATTCTCGTTCTTCCCCAAGGACCTTTGCCCTGTGCCTCGAAGCTGGATTGCTACAACAGGAAATCTAGTATTCTTCCAAGATCATGCAGAGGTAGGACAATTCCAGTATGAATTTGTGTGTTGGAAAATCTGACATTGATCGACAGGGAGGACACTTTGCCGCATTGGAGCGTCCACGCGAGCTGAAGGCCGACCTGACAGCATTTGTCGAGCAGGTGTGGCAGAAGTAGGCATACAGTATTTAGTAACTAGCAGATAATTGTAAATTGTTGATTCACCAATAGTATTCTTAACTGCACCAATATTGATAATTGGCATGTGCCGTACCATGCACCAGCACGACTAATTACCAAAAGAAGGCAGGAGGAAACCTCCGTATAGAAGCTCTCCCGCCGATCCGCAAAGCGTGACGAACATTAATTGATTAATTAATCTCCTCCTCCTTCTGAATCTCTTATCTTCCTCTAACTCTCCACCTCATCATCTTCCCACCCCTCTCATCCATCTCAATTGCATGATCCCCCCCTATCTCCATTATTAATCTCCCCCCTTCCTTCCAATCCTAACTAATCAATCCCCCAAACCAAAAACCCACGTCATTGCCCGCACAGCAGCAGCAGCAGCACGCATGTCGTCCTCCTCCAGCTCGAGATCTGGATCTCGACCACCCCCCACAACCAGCAGCACCAACGCAACCACCCCCTCCTCCATCCAACAATCCGCCGCCTCCTACTTCTCCTACCCAGTAACCCACGTCGTCTCCGGTCTCTACCGTCGCCTCACCGACCCCCCCTCCACCAACAACAACAACAACAACAACATGCGCCGCAAAACAACCACCAATGACCCCTCCAACCCCGTCTTCACCCCCATCCGCACCGCCTCCCCCTTCCAACCTCCCCCCCTAACCCCCCTCACGCTCTCCGACCCCTCTCCGCTCCTCACCCGCTCCCTCGCCGAAGAAATCCGCCTTCTAGTCCCCCCGCGCCTCCAACTCTGCAACACCTGGCACCTAGCCTACAGTCTCGACCGCGACGGCGCCTCCCTCTCCACCCTATACGACAACTGCCGCGACATCGCATCCACCCGCAGCCCTCGCGCCGGCTACGTCCTCGTCATCAGGGATGCATCCCCCTCTTCGAACGCCGTCTTCGGCGCCTACATGACCGACCCTCCGCACCCGGACTCGCATTACTACGGCACCGGGGAGTGTTTCCTCTGGAGGGCGAGCGTGTTGCCGCCTGCTACAGCTATGCTGAGCAATTTCATCACCAATGGGGATACCGCCGGTGAGGAAGGAGGAGCAGGTGTAGAGGCCGAAGTGCTCGAGAAAGCCGGGTTACCGCTGCCTCCGAGCGCGGACACAACGAACGCGGGGCGGTCGACGACGCTGCGCCGGGGGGACGGGGAGAAGTGGCTTTCTCCTACTTCTTCTTCTACCTCTGGAGCTGCTGGAATTGGTGGTGCAAGTAGTGGAAGGACGAGTGGGACTGTCACGCCCGAGCAGATTCGCTTCAAGGCGTTTCCGTATTCCGGGGTTAATGATTACATGATGTTTTGTGAGACGGGGTTTTTGAGCTTGGGTGGGGGGTATGTTGATTCCTTTTCTTTCTCTCTGCCTCTTCTATTTTTTGTTTCATGCAATGGGCTAATCATGAAGCAGTGACGGACACTATGGTTTATGGGTCGACTCCAGTCTGGAAAAAGGTGTTAGTGCGTCGTGCCAGACTTTCGGGAATGAGCCGCTCTCGGATGAGGGCGTCAAGTTTGATATTATTGATGTGGAGGTGTGGTATGTTGGGTCTTGAGTGGGGAAGTACTGCTATATTGCCAATATCAATCTGGCTGTAATGGATTGAGGGGGATGCGTGACATGACTATTATCTGCTGGCAGAATGGTCCGTAATCATGGGTTGGTTGGGGTGGTGGTGGTGTTTTGGGACTGGATGTGCAATTGCTGGCTTGATTTGCCTACGTCGAGCTAGCTACTAGGGGTTGAGGCAGCGCTGCAATAGGTACGGGATACCTGTTGACGAGAAGCGCAACTATATACTACGTGGCCATCGGCCCAGAATGTCATCCATTAACCATCATGCAACGTCAGTCATAATTCGTAGTCGTATTATCAGCTACTAGTAAGGGTACAAATATCAATGCTTAATTCCGCAGTGCAACCGTTCGCCATCCGTTCATATCACCGTGAAAAGACATTAAACCGTTTCACAAAATATCAGTGGAAGAAGAAAATAGAAAAGTATGAGAATCCGAAACATCAAGAGGGTATGCAGCGGCGCAAAAGAACATGAAAAGTCACTCATCAGTAAGGCGAGTTGACAATCTCGTCCCTGCCTAACCGGCTGCCCCATTGGGTTCGGCGACGGGGAGTGACGGGGGGTCCGGCGATACTCTCGCGAGTGGGCTTCATCAAACTCCTCTTGGCAACCATGTTGACTTCGTTGGGCAGAGCGACAATGACGTTCTTGTCCGAGCCGAATCGGAAGTTATCCGCCATGACGTCCTCGCCGTAACGCTTGATAGTGTAGGGGTCCTTGCGTCCGGCAACGACCTTCTTCAAGCTCCAGGTAATGATGAAAGGACCAGTGGCAGTGACAATCGATGTCTCCTGGCTGTCAACACCCGTGTTGAAACGCGCCTGGGTGAAGCTGATAGGCTTCTTCGTCTCGTGCTGGAACTGGGCCACATGGGCAGGCTGCAGACCCAGACGACGAGGCTGCGGCTTGGAGTCCTTGGCGAAGGAGCGCTCGAAGCCAAGCTTGCCTTCGTTCTTGCCCTCCTTCTGCAGTGAGTCGATGAGAAGAAGGTATGTCCGGCAGGTTGCGAGCACCCAGCGGCCGTCCGCAGACACATCCAGACCGATGATCGGCTCTCCCAGAGCAGGAATATGCGTCTTGGCGTTGATTCCAAGACGGTCAAACATCCGGATATCACCCTTGTTGGAGGCGACGGCAAGGTATCCCTTCTCAGTGGTAGCCACCGAAGAGAAGTCGTTCTTGCTGGCATACTGCTTCAGGTCGGTGTCCACCAACTTGTTTCCGTCGACACGAGGGTCGATGCGGTAGAGGGCATTCTTAGATGCACCAACGAAGGTCTGTGCAGCGGTCATTTGAGAGAATTTCTAGGCAAGTCAGCAGATAGTTCACATAAAACCAGATAAAGAGGTTACTCACAGTCTCAGGAGCAAAGGTAGTGACCGGAATGTCATCGTGGACCTTCCACTCATCCACAATCTTACCATACTCCAGGTCCATCCGGTAAAGCGAGTTCGGATCGTCACCGTTCTGGAGGATCATGTTGGTGTCTTCGGCATGCAACATGACCTTCTTGGGGCTGAAGAGCTTGCCCCTGGGGGTCTCAACCTTGGAGATGTTGGTAGAGAACTCCAGGTTGTTGTCGGGAGTGTGCTTGAAGACGCCAATCTTGGAGCCACGAACGACAAATGAGCGGTCATGCTTGTAGCCGACAGCAAGTTGAGAGTTGACGTTTCCATCGTCATCCCGCGTAACGACATCATCTTGCTCCTCATCAGAGTCGTAGTGTTCGCTGCGTTGACCGTCGTAATGGTCTTCCTCCTCAATCTCCTCTTCTTCCTCCTCTTCAGCCTCGGCTTCGCGTTCCTCCGCATCCTCCATTGTGAGATCCTGGAAGGCATCCAGCACGTACTCCCGTTCTTGTTCCTTGACCTTCGTCCACTTCATCTCATTCAGCTGTTCCCACAGAGCCTGCATGAGACCCTCCTGGAACCTCTCCTCAGTCTCCTGGTCCTTGAAGCGCAGGAGCCAGGAGTAAGCCGAACCATCTTCACCGTAGGCATTGAAGATAAAAGATAGATATTCGAAATTGAAAACGGGGTTGATGTCCGCAACGACAGCCTGTCCAAGCCACTCCTTATCTTCTCCGCTGATCTGGAGCCAGTACCTCCAGTCACCAACCTCAGAAACCGTGGCAGTCACGCTGGCCGCCTGCAAAACGAACGTTCCGCTCACAAAGTCGAACAGGTGCAGCTCGGCCTTCTCCTGGGCGAGGACCTCCCTAGCTTCAGGCTGTGCTGCAGAAGGGGGAGCAACTGTGGCTTCCTCCGAGGCTGCAGGCTTGATTTGTCCCTTGGACCGCGAGTATTCGACGTCCTTCACCATGGCGGCGGTCGACTCTCCATATGTCAGTGACCGAGCAGGAGACCGTGCTGAAGAAGAGATAGGGCTTGCAGACGGGATAGGCCTCTCCTCCTGGAAAGAGAACTCTTGCAGATCTTCGCGGCTCACGTTCTGGGAGCTCCGGCGGTATGCGCGCTCGTACTGGCACTGAAGAGCGGCTAGCTCGAAGGTGGAAACCTTATCTGACGGTACAGAAGGGTCGCAGACAAACTCGAAGAGGTCGCCAACGTCGCCACTCAGGTCTCTCCAGGCCAAGATCTTTGCTCCTCCGTCGCGCACCTCGGAGCGGAAGTGCAACGCCTGATCGAGCAGGAAGACCTTTTCGTCCTTGTCGAGGCTGTCACTGCCGCCTTGTTCGTCGTCCTCTTCTCCGAGCTCCTCCTCGCCTTCCTCGTAGGCGCGCTGGATAACGAGCTGATACTGAAACTCCTGACCGGTACGTCTGATGGAGGCGGCGGCGTCCTTGAAGATGAGCTCCGAGTAGCCCTTGGGCGAGAGAGGGCGAACGAGATAGAGTTGTCCCTGAGGGATCTCGATGATAGATTCCTTGGAAGAGTCTCCGAAGAGGTACTTGCTCACTACATAAGTCCGGAGAGGATACGTCAGTATGAGAGGGGACCAATACGTGATGAAGGTGGGAGGGGAGGAAGCAGGGAAGGAGGATGAGGGGAGGAGGGGCAGATGGCGGGGTAGCAAAGCCAAAGTGAAGGCAGAGCTGCCCTTGAGGAAAAGACATCCGGGAATGGAAGGGACTTACCGTTGCGGAGCACAAACATGGCTGGAGCTGCTTTGCTGCTCAGCAACAGCAACCTTGTTTACTGAACTTTGAGATAAGGTGGGTTGCTAGGGACAGGGATTGAGGCAGATCACCAGACAACAGAGGGGACGGAAAGTAAACAGGAAAGGATGAGCCTTGGTCCGGGGGCAGAGTGAAGAAGGCCAGGGCCCAGACAGCAAGCAGAGCAAAGAGCAGGCGAGTCTCTGTGGAGCTTCTGGAAGGAAGAAACGAAAAAAAGATGGAACGGCGAAGTTGTTGTTGTTTTGGTTGCCGTCATCCATCGCTCGGTGGCAACCATGTGGCGCAGCACATGTGGCGGTGTGATTATGTCATCTCTCTACACCACTTCCATCAACAGTAAGTAGTTCTACAAATCTAGAAAGGACTATGAAGCATCACTTCCTGCTAGTAACTTCCTGCTAGTCATCGGAAAAAAAGTAGATTGGCCAGCCACTTCTTTAGTAGACAACCTGATGGCAGCTTATACCGCTGCATATATACACTATGTCCAGCAGCAAGCCCTCACTTGCTCTCCGCAGATGCCTCTGCCATCGCCTGATCAGGCTCCTCTGCAGCCTGCTGGGCCTGCTCCAACGCCTCCTCTTCTTCCTCCTCTTCTTCCTCCTCTGCATTATCCTCCTCATGCTGAGACCCCTCCGCCTCAGCTCCCGACTCCTTTAACTTCCCACCCTTCCGCTGCGGAATAACAGCCAAGAAGGCCTTCCCCCAATCCCCCAGCTCCAACCACTTGAGCATAATCTCCACGACATGATTCGTAGCCAGCACTTGTCTGGACGCCATCTGGATATAATCTCCGATAGGCAGCTTAGCCGTCTTGATCCCCTTCTCGACGGCCTGCTTATAACAAATCCCCTTGTGCCGATTCTTGTCCACCAAACCCCCAACAATATACGTACTGAACGGCTTCAACTCCGTCAACGTATGAGGACTATCACTGCTCAGATAAACCACCTCCCCCTCCTCAGGCTTCATATCCGCCTTATCAGCAAAGACTCCCTCCATCTTACCCCCGTCAGGAACAACCATCCACTCCTTCGCCTTCTCCGCCACCTCGGCGAAATCATCCGGCAGGATCCTAACCCCTTTCCAGTTCAAGTAATGTTTATTCAACTTCGTATCAAACCGCTCCTTCAACTTCTTATTGAACGACGAAAACACCAAATGCGACCGATACACCGACCGACTGTTATCCGAGTACGACCGCGTGATCTGCGACCCCAGTGAAATCCGCTCCTTCTCCAACATCAACTCGTCGTATCCGCAGTCAATGACTAGTGTAAGCGGAAGCAGCGTCGACTTGCGGAAGCGCTCCTGAGTCCGTTCGTATTGCTTCTTCAGTTCGGCTTCCGTACCGTCCAGCCGCGCCTGTTCGAACGCTGCGCGGCGGCGCTCTTTGCGCGCCTGTGCGGTTTTCTTGCGCTTTGCGAGTCGCAGATCGCGCTGCTGGTCCCATTGTTCGCGGCGGCGTTGGCGCTTCATCTCGCGCTTGGAGATCTTGGGCGCTCCATCTTCGGTGGTGGGGGCTGTGGTGCTGTCGGCGGCGGCGCCGTGGGCAGTAGTAGTAGTATCATTCTCGGACGTCATGATAGGTTGCTCGTTGTCGCCATTGTCTGTCCCAGCCGTAGCAGCCGTAGAGACATTATCAGCGACGTGCAGCGCACCGCTCATTCTGGGCTCCGAATCCTGAGACTCGTCGTGATCAAGCTTAGGAAGCTTTCTAGGCCGATCGTTGTCTTCCTCCATAACGTAGTCGGAACTCTCAATTAGCAATAATCCTTTCTCTCCCCTATCACAACAAATCCAATAAATAATCCCTTACAGAGACAAAAAAAATAATAAAGAAAGTGAACAGACAATCACCAACAGGTACAAAATCAGTGAAGCCCACACCCAGCGGCTATCCAGCTGAAGATCACCCAAAATGCCGCCCCCACCAATCAAAACCCCCTCAGCGCTCATTACCAAACCATGCATGTCTCACGTGACACAACATCCCAAGTTCCCATCCGCAACCGCATCATATCTCCCAGCACCACCCTCGATTGAAAGGCTGCGGCACCCCCTCCTCCCCTCCTCTTGTCTCGCCAGTCCTTTTTCCTCCTCAGTCATCATGCCTCAGGATATGCCCCCGCAGGGGGGCTACTTGCCCGTGCAGTACAAGGTGCGTTAAACCATACAAAACGACGTCCGATCAATCCCGTCCACGAGCAACCACACCCTACCCTGCTTTCTATTATTTCGATCCCAACGTTCAGAGGCACGAGCCAATGGCTAATTACCTATAAATGTATAGCGCAACATCCCTGCCCGTGGCTTCCGCCCCATCTACTACCTGATCGGTATGCACCTGATCATGGGCTACGGATACTACAAGCTCTTCTACGGTGTCCGTGAACAATAGTACGTTACGTCCATGCCTGCCCTCCCCCCCGAATAACCGGCAAAGGAAGAATGAATGGATATTGACAAAGGTGGGAATGAAATAGCGAACTCGCCCGTGAGAAGATGTGGGGCCGTATACACATCATGCCTCTTCTCCAGGCCGAGGAGGACCGTGACCAGGCTCGTCGCTACTTCGCCGACAAGGCTCGTGAGAAGGAACTCCTTGGCACGGACGCCAAGATCTACAACTCGGACCGGTATGTGTTCCTCTGCAATTGTGTTTGGATGATGTCGATTGGGCAAGGGAGATGCTAATCATGGTTCATTTGAGTACAGCTTCGTCCGCCCTACCTTCACTTATACCCCCAGCAAGGTCACTCAATAAGCGCTTGGAAGATTATAAAATTTTGCGTGCGTTCGATTATGTTGTCTTCTGTTTGCCCAGGTCGTTCCCTTTTTGGGACGGCGAGCGTCTTGCGCATGATCTGATTGGGGGGTTCATGTGCAGGCAAATGATGGGTTCGGAGTATTCAGTTATGGGCGTGTAGGCTGCGGTTCCGTGAGAATCAACAGGTGCACCGGGTTAGTCAAGAAGAGCTACTATTGTATGTTGTAGATATACCAAACCAAAGAGACCGGCCAGTTCCGCAATGCGTTTTCAGTGTTTTGTATTCCTTGTTTTTTTTTTTTACTTGCCAATTGGCGTCTATCAACCGCTGCTACATTAGACTATGCTGCGTCGCTGCCATGACCTCCGGAGAGGCGTCTATGTGCTTATATATGTGAGAAAAGTCAAAACCGCAAAAGGTGGCTGTGATGTCGGCGAAGGCTTGAAACCAAAGCCACCATACTATACAAGGGAAGACCTGGGTATGAGCGGCCGCCGCACCGAATCTAGGGGGAGATTTTAACCGAACAAGTCCGCGACACCGGCAAGGTCCGGGCCATCGTTGATATCGACCTTGTGGTTCTGTTGGCCCTCCATCTCACCGGTACTCATGTACCGTTCCTGTAGCGCACTCCTGGCCTTTCGGCGTTCTTCACGAGAGCCCAGAATTTTACCCTGCTCGGCAATACTCACACCTCTCAGGCCTTCCAGAAGATCCAAAATCAGCGCACGCTGCTGTCGTGCCGCGGAGGAACGTATGAGAGCAGCCTCTGCGTTGGCAACCCGTTGTTCGTCCAAGCCCGGAAGGCTGAGCATCACGGCCCGCGGGGTGGGGCTGGATGATCCATACAGAATCCAGATGGAAGCGATGAGCTGGGCAAGGTCTTTCTGCATGTCAACAAAGTAAGGTTCGTGCACAGATGTGATGCAGGCCTTGAGCACCTCAGAGGAGATAAATTCGCGGATCGTTACGGTTGTCGCGGTATCATTGGGAGGCGCGAAGTCTTGAAGGATGGAGCGAATGACGCGAGTGATGATGCTGCAGCACCGGGTATCGCGCATACGGAGGGCATGGGTGCAAAAGAGCATCACGGGCTCGAAGATCTCAGGAGAAGAGAGGACAAAATGCCGGATGGAGTCAGAGAGGGCCGGTGCCGCCTGTGGGACACTGGGATCTACGGGCTCGTCGTCGGGGTCTGAAACAGAGAGTTAGCACAGTATAGAAATCACAATGTCACTCAACTTACCCCCTCTCTGCGGGTCCAAGAGGCTTGCCACGAAGATCACGGCGGAGTATGTCAGCTGCCGTAGGATACTTTCCGATTTCATTTCATCGGTCAGATCCCCTTCCCCAAGGCCTTCCTTCTGACGTTCAATGGCGTCCCACTCGGATGTCACTTTCTTGTCGATATTTGTAAAAAGAGTGGACAGCATTGGAGGCAGGAACTGGGCCCGGAAGCGGACAGGGCAGTCATCAATCAAGCACCTTGAGATGTTAAGAAGGACGGAGAACTGATGGGAGGAAAGATGGGCGGAGTCCTTGAACAACGCCTGGGCAAGGGGGCCGGGAAGTTCTGCGAACCCATAGAAATGCTCTCGCAGTCTACTCATGCTGAACAACATGGAGTAGCAGGATTCTCTGACTGCCCGAATCTTGCCTCTTACTGAGGACGCAAATCCCTCAAGCGAGGCTTTTGAGGCCGTGATCTTGGCATAGAATTCATCCCGACTACCAGTGGAAATTCCGGCTTGCCAAAATCTATCGGTCAGGATACGCTCGACCACACCGCGCATGTCATGAGGCAAACCACCCCAGTTCTCCGGGTTGTGGAAGGCATGTGCGTTACTGTGTGTGGTTAGTCAGTTATACAGTGCTGATGGGCAGAAGGCTTACCTGACAAGCTGCAGTAGCGTTGGCAGAATTGTCGGAATAATGTCATGCCAGATATTGCAGGCCAGTTCGTAAGCCTGATCGGTTTTCTTAAGTTTGTCCGAGGAAACGGCCAACATAGTCTTGGTGCCTCTCAAAGGCAATTGCTATCCCGAAGTTAGCACTTGTTGGTGATGACTAGGGAGTGATTATTACCTGGAACTTTCTGGTCATCTCTTCCTGGATTAGCTTGCCCTCACTATCCAGAGGCACGGATGACCAGTCCTCGAGCTTGGGCGCATGTCGTGCTTGCATGTATGGACCAACACTCTGCAATCCGAGCATAACGCAAAAGCCTTCAAAGGTCGAGCTCATATTACGAAACTCTTCTTCCTGCCAAGCATTCTTTATGGGTTCCACGAAGGACACCAGGCGGGACTGACGGAGATACGGTTCGACGTTGTTTGCACGTTGCCTGCAAGGTCAGAACTAGGACGCAAGAGATGATGTTGTTGAGCCATACATGATGATGAGCAGAATCGACGTGAGCTCCATTTGGAGCTTGTCATCTACCCGGTTGGCCATACTGATCTCCTTGATTTTAGGCTCGAGTATGTCGTAGAAAGTCTGTGGACAGAATAGTTAGCAGTGCTTGGATCCATGGTGGTCTAACTTACAGCAAAGTAGTCTGCATAACGCATAGCCAACCTCCGGAGTTCATGGCTGGTCAAGCCGTGGAGTTCCTTAACGGACTCGGAGTACACTGGGTATTCCGGCTGGTCAGGTAGACGCGTCATGAGGATATACTCCAGGGCCTTGAGTGCAAAGCTAGGGGTCTTATCCAGAGCTTTGGATGAGATATCGACAACAAGCTTGATGACCCGTTGCTTGAGGATTGGATCCTGTAGGGTAACGTGAGTTGGTCATAGTGAAACATAACATCCGAGGGCAAGTCAGTCGAACCTCAAAGTTCCGCTGCATCAACTTGAAAGCCCATGCCTCTAGCATCTGTTCTAGTTCGCTCCGCTTTTGTTCCTACATTTATGTTAGCTGAATAACGATGGTTGGAGTCGTATCTCGCACGTCTTGCTGAGGCATCCGTCCATGCGCAGACACCCATTTATTGTATCCCTTCAGTGTTGCCTCAACGACTGCGAACTGCGTGTCGGCACGCATTAGGGGCATTGAGTTCTTCGAAAACGACTTGACTGATGCAGGGTTTAGCTAGCAGTCCAAATTCAGGCAAGACATACATACCACTGAAAGGCTCCACTCCGGCGTAGAGATTGTCTAGGTTGGAGTCAACTTCCGATAATATATGAAGAATGGCTTCCTGTGGTCTCTTTTGTACGATGCTCTCGATGATAGACGAGCAGTAGCGCCGGTAGTTACCAACGAATGCATGTCTTTCGGGGACAGTGTCAATATCCTCGTTGAGGAAAACAACCGTAGCATTCTCCGAATCGGACGGGAAAGATTCCCAACGAATCAATCTTTCGGTGCAGATACTCAGCAGGGAAGGCACGAGGCCAGTCACCAAGTCTGTATTTCCGATCCTCTCCGATGCGATTAACTTGGACCACACATGAAGAACGGGAATCGAAACAGTAAGACTTTGGTTCTGAATAACGCTGACTGTGAGGTGGAAAAAGAACGGAAGGTTAAGGCCCTGTACGCTTTCTAGGGCAAAAGACTTTTCCTCAAGGAAACCCGCAATATATGATATCATCTATTCATGATGCGTTAGTGTGCGCCTCCTCGTCAAGTGCGGTTTCTTTGCATACCTCAGACACTTTCTTACATATGGTATACCGTAGGTCGTCGACGTCGTCAGGCCCAACGACGGACCATTCGTAGAGTTTCTGCAGCACATTCAAGGACTCCGTTTCGTACATGACGTGGACAAGTGGTTGAAAGCCCTCGATGTCAACATTGGAACGACTATATAAGGCATGCAGGGCTTCAACCGCGGCCTAGATTGGTTAACATTAGCACGACGTGCTCCACGCACGACCTTCACAGGTTGGGCGGAGACTTACCATCAACACATATTCGTCATCACAAGTGAATGCCCTGGCAATTGAAGGAACGCAATTGGCAGAGAGAATTGCCTTGGGGATTGACCATGCAAGGACGGACTTAAGAGTCGCGAGAGCTTTAAGGGCCGAGTCTTTTGCTTGCTTCGAGTTTTGGATGTTCCCGATACAATCGGCTAGGAACCCACAGATGCGCGAAAGCCAACCTTCCGGGCCACAGCGCAGGTCAATACTGTCCTTTTTGGGGTGAATCTCCTCGAAGACAGACAGGGGAGTGCAGATCTCCACCAGAGCCCGATTGAGATCCGTGCCGCGCAGGGAAGAAACGGTGTCTTCACGGTAGAAGATGTCTTCGGACAGGGTCTCCAGAATCGACAGGACTAAATCCTTGTGAACAAGACTAGCATTCCAGAACTGAACGAGGGTAGCGTCCATGTCGTTCCAGTCCAAGCCCCAGCTCCGTTTGGCGACTTCGGCCCATAATTGGGTGATTTTGTTGCGGATATACGGGGGATCTTCTGGCCGTACCGATTCGGCCAGCTTGAGGACCAGACCCCTAAGTGCATCGATCTGTTCTGAAGCCTCAAAGGAGGTGTGACGCAAGACGTGATCTAGCAGACCCAAGCCGAAGTAGCGAACCAAGGGGTTGCTCTGTTCGGGGGAAGCGAGCAGGAAACCATTACGAGCAGCAGATTTGCTTTCTTTCTGGGCCTCAACAAAGGTCAAGGCCTCCCTGCGCAGCTCATTTGTCGAGGAGGGGCTATGGATGAGCTCAAGGGCACGGATGATGTCGGCCATGCGGCCCTCCGATAGATCTGCCTCGGCCGCCATGGATAGGATCTGACGGAACTAGTGCCGCCGGGGGACGAGTGAACGATAAGTATAGCGGAATAGGTTTAATTCAAGACTTTTTCCAGTGGCAGCACCAATGCCGGCATGATCTAGGCCCTTGCAAAGCCTTGGTCACTCTTCCCGATGAGAGAGAGATCCGTCGTTGCGGGTCAGGTAGGACTGCGTTGGGCAAATAACAAACGCTGCCGCAATCAGCCTTCCAGAAAAGGTGGGCGACACACGGCAACCGCCTCCGAGGCAGTTGCGGCTCGGCGGTGCAGTGGTGTTCTGGAATGAATGGGGGATGCGGTTTCTGCCTAATGAAAGGGTTTATAAAGAGGGGGGAACGACGGGGAAACTAGGAATGTTCCGAGTACGGAATTGAGGAATTGCTTCTCTCCTCTTGGTGCTTGTTGAGTTGAAGGGGAACGGGGAAACCCGAGTCTATCACGTCCGATGGTTGGACGGGGGGGAGGGAAGAAGACTGCAAGAGTGGGATAGGAAGTAAGTTGCAGCAGTAGTAAGAAAAGTACCTTAAGGGAAGAAG